AGTCTCAGCGTTTTTACAAAAGTCAGTATCTGAGACGTTTTTACAGAAGTTAGGTTAGGAGTCTTCCAGGTTCTTGAGTTCTGCTTTAAGTTAGAACACTTGGAAAGCAGAACGGTTTTGGTACAGTTAGTGGAGTGTCCGCTCCTTTTCTAGTTAGATGGTGTAGTCTTTTTCATTACTTCTATCCCTTGGTGGGTTGGCACCAGAGTAGAAGGACTTTATGTTCTGTGCCTAATTTATTCAGCTTCTCTATTAGGCAGGATAAGATGGCATAAGATCTCTATTAGGCAGGATAATTCGGATAAGATGGTTATTTCTTGTTTCCGATAGATTCCTATCAAAGATAAGTTGTACGCATCTTTTGTTTGATAGCGTAGATTTCTGCCTGAAGGATACTATGCCCAAAAGTAACAGTAGCAAACCGTTTTTTTTAAATAAAAATTACCGCAACGAAAAAAAAACAACTTGATTAAGTAGCTTAAGAACAAATATTAAATAGTTCAAACAAAATGGCTGTTCTCTTAGTAAAATAAATATTGTTTGAAGTGTTCCAAATTTAAATTGAAACCATGTCCAAATAAATGTGTTTAATTTAACTTTATTTGTTTAAAACAATTTGGAGCAATAATTCGACACTATTTAATTGATATAATACAATTTTTAATCGATATTATAATTGGTTTATGTCGTATCGGTGTAGTGCTATGAATAACGTTGAGAAATTGGTACGAAAATTTCGTACAGGAAATATATCGATCAATATATGGGAACCGTTACTGTAAATAATGATCGTACTGATTGTTTGATCTAAATACTTAATATCGGTACAGTTACCTTCAATCAAATCAATTTAATAATTATATCTGTAACGGTTTCTAGCTGTACATAACGTATATCGAATCGAGTTTTTCATAGGTGTATTATAGTAGGTAGGTACATCGTCTGCTTAAAAAAAATACGCAAACTACCGTATGATCGGATAAAAACGACGTCGCGATAGGCCTAGTAATTATATTTCAATTACAACTTACTCAATTTAATCTTAATGAAAAAAAAACTAATAACCTGTAAAACTTGGAAAATAAGTTCGTCATAATAATGCTTTTATTTATTCACTATTCTAATAAACAATATGCGTTCCTTCGGAAACTCTCTATTTATTTATCTAGTAATGCTAAAATACTCTATTTTAAAGTCGATTAGAGAAAATAGTATGATTCATTGGCAAGTAATGTAAATATTTACGATCCGGTAAAATTGTGATGTAAGAGGAGGCTTAGCTTGCCTGCGGCAGGTCAGTTGTTGATAGGCCGGCAGGCTGTCGTGTTGTGTTCTGTCATAGAGCTGATATTTGGGGGTTGAAAGTCTTTTGACTATAAACGTTGCAAGTACTGTAAGGCAACGCACAGTGCTTCGTCCCATGGACAAAAATCAAAAAATAAATTAAAATTTACTAATATCTGAATATATAATTTTATACTTATAGCAATGTTCAACCATCCTGTATATTATTTTTCATAAACAGCGTTTTTGTTAGCAAATATTTTCACTAAAAATACATTTTGCGATCATTATCTCATCAGTGAAAAGAATAACATTCATAGTAGTTCTGTATATTATGGAGTTAAACGGGTACGTACTTAATTGAAAGCCACTATGGATATTGTTAAACAAGGTATGTACTTTAAATTTATTTCTAAACAAGTTCGTGATTGTTTAGTTTTTATTTATTTTAAGATGATTCTTAAATGGGTATAAAAATTTTACGTTTTCAAACTTCAAAATGCATTTAAAAAACATATCAAAACATATCGTATTTATTGAATATTTTTGTTGCCATATTCATACACTTTTAATTTTTGTATAGTTCACCTGCGTCTGCTTGCGACGAACTTTATTTTATAATACTTTTCAGATGGAGTAAAATTGATAAGCAATGCCGATCTGGCTAATACTTGGCTTGATCATAAAGACAAGAACTCAAAATTATTTGTATTTCAAAAAATATGTTCTTATTAGATATTGATGAACCTTCCAGTCAAATGAGACACCACTGGTGCCTGAAAAAGTCCACTATGTTGGAGCGAAACGTCGCATAAAAAAAGTGTCCATCTTTCAATTTATTATATAATCTCATACCCAAGAAAAGGAAAAAATAATATATGGATATGCTGTATTAAAGAGGTAACTATTAACATCCGAACCCCTCATAGCGACAAAATGAACAGTAACAACGCGAAAAAGTAACATATTAGAAAATGATGTACAGAAATATCTTATATGTGAGGATACTTCATCTACCTGATTTGGATACTATAAATTTGGAAGATTCTGTCAGCAGTAATTCTTCTGAATCAAAGTAGTTACGATCTATGCATTTTGTTGTCCTAAAGTAAATTTATAGTATCTTAAGTTTTTTTTTTAATTAAATATAACATTAATGTTTCTTTTTCATTAAACAAAAACATTTTTATCTTATCTTACGTATTAGGCTTATATTGTAGGAATCATGTTCTAATGTTATTTCAATTCTTTTTTATCACAGGAATTTATTTAATACTTACACCGTTTTCATACTATAAATTATTATTTGCTTAGATGGAACACAGCTCCAATATTTTTATTATTTATAAGATTTTTTTTTCATAAACGTGGGACTAAGAACATCATCATTTAGTACAATGAGAGTACTCATCATTTGTGTCAAATAAACCTAGTTTGAATAAATTGCTTACAATAAAAGAGAAATTTTGGATTTTTGTCCTCTAGAGCCATATGTTCGAAGCACTGTGCAACGGGTCGTTTGACCGGAAGAAAACCTCTTGTGGTGTGACGTCTTGCCTTCGAGGTTGGTCTTGAGAGTTTGAGGTCTCCCTTGTCTTCTCGATTGACACGATGCGGCGTTGGGGTAGTGAGCTACCCCAATTAGCCTATTCGATTGGGATGCGAATCTGCTTAGCGGCAGATTTGCGTCCGGAGGAAGCCCCTATACTATTTCAGGTGACACTAGCTAGTTGTTGAAGATGATTTACCAATATATAACCGAATGATATTTGAATTAGATGGAAAATATGGAATGGGATATATTGAATAGAATATATCAGTGGCTAGGGGGCGGAGTACCCCGGGTGAGTCTTACTATCAATTTTATCCAGATCAGTAAATGTTTGTTTTGTTATTTTCATGTACAATGAGAGAGTGCTTGCCAATGACCAACTAAATGGATATTTGAGGTGAATTTGCATTGTGAGACCCGGTTGAGTAAGCCCCAGAAATAAGCGATTTTACAAACCTGTACAGGGTGGCGCCTCTCATACGACGCAGAGGCTCCAAGGAGAACGGTAGTTTATATCGAAATGAAATTTTGGGAGCATACTTGGGGTAATTGAACGCATTCTATTAAAATATATAGAGTTCTACAGGGTGTCCTCACAAAAAGTTATGCATCAAAGTTGTGTTTTTTGTAATAGAATACCCTATATATTAATTGATTTTCGGATTTTTGGAAAAAAAGATGAGATTCATTAAAGAAGCAAATGACCAAAAGATAAGGTTTTTCACATATTTAACATTTTCTAAAAATGAAGAAAAAATTCTAAATTTCAATAACAGCTACCTAATTTGTAATTTATATATTATATAAATTACAATTATCGACAAAATATTAAGAGACAACTTTTAATCGGCATTAAACTACTTACAGTATTTCGCTGACAAGATAAAAAAAGTCAGTGGCGTACATTTTTACCCTCAAAATTTCACTCGAATCGCTAAAAATACTTGGAAGAAAATTATAACAAATCGAAAGATTATTAAGGTTTTAACACCCTGTAGCTACGCAACAAAGCAGAATCGGACCTATGTTGATATGAAAAATAAATCATATTTTTACCTGAGGAATCTCCCCACGACAGATGGTACATGGTTTTTTGAAACACACTGTATATTTTAAATGGTATTAAAATTATTCAAAATCACTATTTGTCTAAAATTAACATACTACAGTAATTATTATTCATCGCAAGTACAATTTACACAGTTATTCAATTGAAAGGAACTTATAATTTTTTAATAGTAGGTACTCACGATGTTCAGTTCCGTATCATAGTTGTATTCATTGTCTTCCTCCAAAGCAAAAAGGGGGGCATGGTGATTTACGGCAGGTTCAAAAGCCGAATGGTAATCGTAGGACAATATATTCATCCAATCCAAGTACCTAGAACATTAAAATCATAAAAAAAACGCGTCACAGTAGCTTCTAAAATTAGAAATTTCTGCTGCCTATGTTCTTGATCGGTTGAAAAAATATTGTTTTTATCTAAATATGCGCTTTAGGTACCGTATGATCGAAAAAAAAACGGCGTCAGAGAGGGCTGGGAATGACAATCGATGAAATTTTTTGAGATGTCAATCTCTAGACGTTATTTCCTAAAAATTGACATAATTTTTAATTTTACGAGTAGAAAAATATTGGCTGGAATTTATTACGAGTAGAAAAATATTGGCTGGGTTGGCGTTGGTTTCTATGTAATTTGACAAATAAAAAATAAAGCTGTCTCTTTAGTTGTCAGTTTTGAGTTAATATTTTTTTATTCCCTTTCGTGTCGATCAGGGGCGGGAAAGTGAAATAGCAAAAGCGGTTCCACCGTTTCCAAGGAAATCTCATATAAATTAGTTCCAGCCCTAGCCACTAGGTGGTAGTGCAATTAATTTTTAGGTTAAGAAGTTGCTACTATAGTTATTGCCAGATGGCGGTAAATCAGAATTTTTTTGTAGTTTCCATAGTTTCCAACGGCCATTGTCATATTATTGTCAAATTCTCAAAAAATATTGTCGTTGTCATAGCGCCAATCATAATATTATCAAATAAATGATTATCAAAACGTTTTTCAAACTATAATTTGTTCTATGAATTTGTTATATGTGTTTTAATTAGACAATTCCTTTTGTAATAAGTCTTTTATTTTTGCCATCATTTAAGTACCTATTTATACTTACTCCATTTACAAAACTTTGGGCGTATTACGTCGGCCTTGTTTTATTATAATAAACGATGTTTAAATATTTGACTTATAAATAAGAACTTTAAATAATAAATAATATTTCACATGTTTGGCTTTAATTTTATTTAATAATTGTATATTAATAATTGTAATATTATACTGTTAAATCTTTATTTTTTACACATCACAACGATACTTGTTATTAGTATTGTTGAATTTGTGTAAAAAATAATATTTAATAATCAAATTTAATTATTTTAGAGTAAAATTATTTAGTAAATACGCTCATTTAAAAAGCCCGCGCTTCGATCCATTTAAAACAAGCCCTACTCAATAGATGGCGCCACTTCTGTAGGACCATTTTTCAGTATGGCAGAGTCCATTCTTTTTCTAGCTAGGTATATTCTTTGGTGTCGATTGCTGATTGAATTAGAGCCAGAAATGGCTCAAAACGAAGTAAGTAAATTACCAACAGATATTCAGGCCGAGGCGACAAACACCCATATCCAAACTACTTCCGTTTAAATCCCGAATAACTAAAAAACGTGCGAGAAGAAATAAAGTTTTTAACCTATCCTCGCTATTAAAGTACTATTTTATCTGCTATTTTTGATAGATATAAGGCAATTTTAACAGTTGCTATGGAAAAAATAGTATATTATTCAACGAGCATATAATGGTGGATGAACTTCATCCGCGTGAATAACAGCCATTATATGCGAGTAGAATACTATACTTTATCCAGGACTATCAAAAAAAATTAGATAATATTAATATAAGTTTTTATTTTTAATGTCAACGTGACATCTTTAATGTCAACGTTTGGATCGAGCCATAGATAAAAGACTTATACTATTAAATAGATAGGCAACTTATAATACATTTCAATTTTATTATACAAGGGCGCCTCTGGTAGATGGAGGAAGAAATACTATTGGAAGAGAGGGGTGCGGGGAAGGGGGGTTGTTTTAGTTAATTTAAAATAAATTTAGACATACATGTAAGAACACTTTGTGTGCTTTTAATTAGGTCGAACATATTATAAACGATAAATCAACTGAATTAAAAGCATACAAAGTGTTCTTATATGTCGGATATTAATTAAAAAATATATTAAAAATACTAGAAATAGTATATATTAAGTTGTTACAGTTATAATTTAATCTTTGGTGGTTTTCAGCAAATAGCAGGCAGTTTTACATAATTTTCCTCCCTTTGAAGTGAATTGGAAACGGCTAGGTATATAATTTTGGTGTAGGCAAGATTCCCAGTTTGTTTCCGTTTGGGACCTGAAATAATCAAAACAAATTAAATCAGATGTAATTATCTGCTGATCATAAAAAAAAACGCGCGTCCTTAATTCCTTACATGCACCGTAAAAAAATTAAATAACTGCTCTGCAAGTAGCATTTATTAGCAGTACTAATTTAAAAAATCTATAACTGTAAGTAGATATGTTTAATTTACTTACCATTGTATCCTTCGGAAACCAGGTGTACAACAATTAAACTCCATGATAAAAAATAATTAAGAGTTATTACAAAACACAAATTGTCCCACCATTTTTAAAAAACATTGTCTAAAACAGAATACTGGCAAAAAATCTGAAGGAATTTAATTTTACAATAATTCGACAAATCAAACCGTAAAATCACAACAAAAGCGTCTCTGAGTGACAGTTAAAAATCAAATTTTATTATTGTCAGATATTGACATTTGCATTGTTAATATTGACAGTTTTAATATTTTGCGCCTCTGCATCTTGGAGGAAAAACTATTTTTAATGAACTGTCATTTCCATTTAAGTTTCCCAGCCATGGATCGAGCACAGCTCTTGTTTGGAGTTTGGATCTAGATATCCATGGAAGCGGTGAATAATGAAACTATTAGTCACTAGTGAATAATGAATATTATTATTATTTCATAAACTGACGTAGAATAATCAAATTATAGACGAGTCGTGGATAAATTTATTTATTATCTCGATCCAAACTCGAAACAAGAGTTATTTGAAGTTTTTAATGTCACTTTTTGCATTCATCTCTGGGGTGTTCCAAAAGTTGTTTTCTTGTCATAAGATTTTCAAAATATTTTTTCCTTTTTAATAAGTCTCTCATGTTATATCTCGACATGTAAACTAATTATTAAACACCATTACGAAGAAACAATGTTAAAATTCCCTCATTTTCTACTCTAAAATTCGATTTAAAAATTTAAAGTTGTCAATGTTATTTTTTGCATTCATCTATGGGAGATTTCAAAAGTTGTTTTTTTTTAAATAAAAACTTATATTAATATTATCTAATTTTTTTTTGATAGTCCTGGATAAAGTATAGTATTCTACTTGCATATAATGGCTGTTATTCACTTGGATGATTTATGACACTCGCCTGCGGCTCGTGTCATAAACTTCATCCGCGTGAATAACAGCCACCATTATATGCTCGTTGAATAGTATACTATTTTAACTGATGTAGTGGAGAAGAGTACAAGCGAAATAAATTACGTTTAGGGCTTGGCCTCGCCAAAATTATCATCGATTGTCATTTCCAGACCGTTCTTGACGCTGTTTTTTTTCGATCGCATGATTCTACTTACTTGGTGAGTTTAGGTACATCATAGCCTTTGTTAATGTATTCTATACCAGCCGGTACAGCCATGGTGAGCAATAATCTTTGCCTTCCTGTTTTCTCCGATTCTCGTTCAAATTCTTCCCTTAGTTCCTGGAAAAAAAATAATGAAATAGCAATAACATTTTTATACAGGATGTCTCACTTTAACTGGTAATATACAGGGTGGTCCGAACTGTATTCCGGAAATTTCGGCAGCTTATTTTGCAGATAAAAATATGTAAAAAAGTTCGTATAAATGTATGTCCTAAAATGCTTAGTTTCGGAGATACAGGGTGTAGAAGTTTCATTTCTATTTCGTTTTTTCCAAATAATTTATGAAATAACGTCAATCTTTGAATGAAAATTCGTGTCTGGGAGTTTTTTGACATGAGAAATTTGATTTTGATGTCAATATGACATCCTCTCGGACTTCTATTTGTAGGTGGCGCCAACTACATGTGTTTTAACTGTTTTAAATAGCAATAACTTTTCGTCCGTACCTGTATAAAATTACTGAGTAAAAAAATATACATTTCCGTAACTTTTTACGTAGAAAGTGTCTCTTGGTAAAAATCGCTAAGAGCAACAGTTCTCAAGATATTTACAATGGAAATAGTCAATACATATCATTATTAACAAAAAATAATTCATTTTCCTAATATTTCTTGACGGTGTATCGAAGCTTGCCCCTCATACATTACCCACATTCTGAATATTAGTTTGAATATAAAATTTACACTAATTTTAAATTTCTACACTTTAAAATTACAATAATCAATTTTAACAAACAAAACCAAAAGCATGTTAAGAGTCGCTGAAATGAAGAACCTGAGAACCATAATGGGAAAGAGTAGAAGAGAGAGAATTAGAAACACAAATATCAGACAACAATGTGGAATACAGGACGTAGTGAGATGGGGTAGGCAAAGAAAAAGTCTGTTGCGGACCCGTGTGGACTCGATCTAACCTAACTATATGTCCCGCCCTCAGATGACCTTAACATCGCATTAAAGAATAGACACCGTAATGATTCATTTGAACGTTCGAGAAGAATCGAGTTCCACTGGAATGGAGTAGTACATACGAACAGTGTTCGGAAGTAGTTAATTAAGACGCAATTTACCTGATTAACTACGTGTAGTTTTTCTTCAAAAACTACGTTTTTTTCCGTTCATTAACTACATAAAAACTACGTTAATAAACTATGTATTGATATTATGAATAATTTTCCTTTGTATGAGGTGTTATAGAGATAATATGATGTAAATATTATATTTTTAAAGCCATATTTCTTCTGTTTTCTTAAATACATTATGTGTTTTTAAAGCTTCAACTTATTATAACCTCACCTCAAACCTTTGATATTTGAAAGTTACATACATAGGTTACATAAACTACACCAGTGGCGGATACAGAGGGGGGGGGGCATGGGGTACGGGCCCCCCCCCTAAAATCTGTAAATTGGGTTAAATATTAGGCATTTGGGTAAAAACTGGCGCCCTAAAAGGCATATTTTGCATTATTTTTTATTTGGGTCCCTTCTAAAATAAATTTCTGTATCCGCCCCTGAACTACACCCTCTACATAAACTACATTAACTACATGTAATGTAGTTTATGTAGTTTTTAAAAGTAACATGTAGTTTTCCGAACCCTGCATACGAGAACATTCGAAACCGTCTCTATTTCTAGTTGAAAATCGTTTGTAAATAGTTCTTTAAGTCTTTTATCGTTATTGTTTTAGTTAATTAGTGTTAAATAAATTGTGTTTAAATAAATTGTGACTTTCTATCCACACGGAACCGACGAAAAACGTAACAAGACAATGGTTCGCACACGTAAAACGTATGGAAAAAAAACAGGCTACCGCGCATAGCCCTTGAAGGGAAACCCATGGGTAAGGGACAGCCGGGAAGACCTCCAAAAAGATGGAAAGATAGTTGGGAGTCCATCTCCAAATAACTCCTACAGAGGCAACCTTAAAATTAACAGATCGAAAGATCTCAAAGAAGTAAAAAAAGAAAAATAATTATTTTGATTATTTCAATCGCATTTTACCAAATAACCATCTGTAATATGCGTGCAGGATTTCTAATGTCCAAGTTGTGTTAATTGTAAATATTGTTATTTTTTTAATTATTATAAATTATTCAATAGGGAGAGGTGTCAGGTCGCACCCACATGCATTTGAATACCTGATATCCAACGCATTTTAACATTTTAACGCATAATATTTCCTTTTTTAAATTCCTGATAATCGTCAACACAAACAAATCGGCTTATTCGAAAAAAAAATTCAAAACAGTTTTTCTTATTTGCATTGCTTATTTCCCATCAGGAAATATAAATATTTCTTCATAAAAATAATATACAGGGTGAGCCTTCAATATAAGTGCAATTTTTTTTCAGGGCTGGTAGATCGATAAAAGAAACATATTTTCTCTTTACCATTTTTCAAATAAGTCCAAAATAACAAAATAACTGAGTTATTTTACTTTGAAAATTTGAAAAAAATATGATAGTGTATATTGCTTATATTTTGAGAAACACTGGATTTTTTCTGGGTTTTCTTTCCCTCTTAATTTAACCTAACGATATTTAGGACACTATGTTGTCATAATATAAAGATATAATATAATAATAATAGCGTATATAGCATTTAACGCCTAGGGAGTAGCAAGGTACAGTTTGCCTACTAAAGCCGTTCGGTATACAAGGAAGGTAATGTGGCTAGCATTACGCTTTAACCGCCTATTATTACGTCAGGATTGGGAATCCCAAGTACTCATTTAAGGCTGAATCGAAGTTAATAAAAAGTCCATTTTTTTTCGAAAAATACCAAAGTTTTATTTTTTTTACGAAAAAAACTGATTGGCGTGTTTCTGGAGTCGTAATATACCACCCCTAAAAATATTTGCACTTATTAAGGCTCACTCTGTATAACCGCGATTGCTAGGCAGACAGATAATTAATACGAGCCCTAACAACTATATGTTGGGACAAGGTCATATTTTGGAATTATTGCCCTGGTTTTTTAAAATGACTGAAAAATATATGTTTAATTTTTTAAATATAAACATAGCCATATATCCTAAACAACTTGACAATATTTTTATGAATTTGTAAATCAATCCATATTTACAGTAGCGGATTTTGTTCATAAAAGGACAAATTTGCTGACAACTAAATGTTGGGACAAGTATTTTTAAATAATTAATATCATGTCGCAAACTGTTTACTTCAGCATTGATAGCTTGTAAGTGACTCGATACTTTGAGTAGTGAGATTTACTGTAAGTAATTTGAATTTTTTTAATTTTCAATTTTGTTAATTATTTAATTCAAAGTAATGATCCGTGGAAAAGCTACAAATCAAAAACTACGCGAAATTATCATTCCTCAATACAATAAGGGAAAAACAATACGAAAAATTTCTGATGATTTAAGTATTCCAAAAACCACGGTCTTTAATATAATAAAAAAATACGGCGAATCTGCCCATGTAGACGTTAGAGGTAAAAGTTCGGGAAGGTCAAAAGTTGTATCTCAGAGAGATTTACGAAATTTAGTAAAAATTTGCAAGTCTGCGAGAAGAAGTACTCTTCGCGAAGTAACAGTTAAATGGAATACTCTAACTGGATTAAATATATCAAGAGAATGTTGCCGAAAATATATCAATAAATGCGGTCTGGGGTTTTACAAGGTAAACTTTATTTTGTGTGGATAATCAATTACCTGAAGATTATTGATACAAATTCTTATTTAGGCCAAAGAAAAACCGCTACTGACAGAAATTCAAAAGAAAAATCGCTACAATTGGGCAAAATCTAAATTATCGTGGACACAAAATGATTGGAATAAGGTCATATTTAGCGATGACTCTAAATTCGATGTTTGCGTTGGAGATCGTCGAAAACGAATAATACGAAATAAAGTAGAAGCCTTTCATAAAGATTACTTAAAGAGGGTTGTTAAGTTTCCTAAGGGGATTATGGTTTAGGGTTGCATGTCAGCAAGAGGTTTGGGCAAATTAAATTTTATAGATAGCACTGTTAACGCCCAAAAATATCAACATATACTTGAGACCTCACTTTTGCCTAGTGCTCAAGAATTGTTTCCAAACGCAGACTATATTTTCCAACAAGATGGAGCATCGTGCCATTCAGCAAAATCAACTAAAAATTGGTTCGGTAATAATAATATAAAAGTTCTATCCCATCCTGCAAATAGTCCGGACCTCAATATTATAGAAACTGTGTAGCCATAAAATGAAGCAATATTTAAGAAACCACCCTCAACGAACAATTTTTGATTTGCGGACAAAACTGCAGGAAATTTGGGATAATTTTTCTCCTCAAATGTGCCAATCTTTGGTAAATACAATGCCATTAAGAATTCAGGCAGTTATTAAGGCGAAATATGATGTAACTCCGTATTAAACAAATTTCTTGTTGTGTTGTCCCAATATATAGTTGTCAGCAAATTTGGCTTGATTTTGGCAAAATAAGCTATTGTCAAAAGTAATTTGTTTGCAAAGTTATAAAAATATAGTAAAATTGTCTAGATCATATTGTAATGTTTGAATTTAGAATAATAAACAAAATAAATTGAGTCGTTTTAACAAAAATTACTACTTTTATTGCAAAAAAAGGCCTTGTCCCAACATATAGTTGTTAGGACTCGTATTAGTTAGTCTTTATTTTCTTTTGTATTATTTACTATAAATCAAAACTTTAACACAATGTTTTTTGCTAGGATCAAAAATCAAAATAATTCGAATAAATTTTATAAATTTTAATATCACATTTTAGCTATTAAAGTAACTAAAGGCACAGGTAAAGGTAAATTATGTGCAATAAACTTATTTTGATCCAAAAAATACGTAGTTGTTCTATGGTCACGGAATATTGGAACTTCCTGTATATCTTGTAGGTCTGCTTTGGAAAAATAAATTCTCCAAAAATGTTTTTCACCAAAACTATGCGATGTAGAGTTTTAAAAGAATTTTAAAAGAGACAAAAAAATGTAGTAAATACTAGAGGGACCATTTTACGAAAAGAAAATTTGCCGTCGGCGTCGGTGGAGATGGAAAATATTTCTACTAAAATTTATGTAGGGGTGAGGGTAGTTTTCACCATCCACGTAACCTCTCTGGATTTTTGTAAAAGTCCATTTTACCAAAAGAATACAAATAATTGTTGCTCACCTTCACTAATTGAGCATAGTTATCCCTATCCCTAGATTTACCACCATCCCTAAACGTGGGGTACTCCCAATCCAAGTCCAATCCATCAAAATGGTTCTGCCTGAGGAACTTGACAGCATTTTTTACCAGCTCTTTTCGTCGTTCTGCGTTAGCCACCATTGGCGAGAACCTGGAAGACCCTTCGTTCCAACCTCCGATAGCTATCAAGGTCTTGAGGTTCTTGTTGTAGGTCTTGAGGCCAGTGAATTTCGCATATCCACCTGGAATAAAAAATAGGAATTATGTAATATTGTTTATAAAAAAATTGTGTGCGCGTGAAACTTCTTACTAACAGCTATTAAATTGAAGGATTTCAAGGACATGTTTGAAAAAGTGACATATACACTGTGTCAATTTTAACACTTCCCACCCTTAATATGTTTCTTGCAGTTAAAATTATGAAAAATCGGAAAGACACGTCAATTTTATTTGTAACGTGGACATTTTAAATGAATATTTTTAGTCTTGTTCTTTCAACCCCCTAGGAGGGGTAGATGTCACCCTAACAATGTTAAATGGGAAAGGGGGTCAAGTGGCACATCGTTTTAAAGGGCTTTTAAAAAGATAAAACCATTTTTACTTAATAAAGGGTATAGCCTCCCCTACTGTTCATTACAGCCCTACATCGTCTCTCCATGCTGCTGATCAGGTTGTCGATCTCTTCTTGAGGTACAGCCTGCCACGCTGCATTCACGGCCCGAACCAGATCCCTACGAGTTTCACGAGGCATACCCATTCTCAAAATTCTTCTTTGGACCGCGTCCCATACGTGCTCGATGGGGTTGAGGTCAGGAGATTGTGCCGGCCAGGGTAAGATGTTTAATTGATGAGAATTGATAAACTCACTTACCACTCTGGCTGTATGAGGCCGTGCATTGTCATGCATGAGAATGAAGTTTCTCCCAAAATCATTGGCATATGGTAACACGGCAGGCTCAAGAATTAAATCACGATATGTTAGAAACCTTTCAAGAAAAACGAGATCGGTTTTCGGCCTAACTGGACTCCTCCCCAGACCATAACTGTTCCACCTTGATAAGGGTGCACTTCCTGAACATGATCCACCCGAATAAGATTTCCCAGTTCTCTCCATACCCTAAGCCTTCTCAAATCCGGATGAATTCCAAAGCGTGACTCATCCTTGAACAGAACATTGGCCCATTGTTCATTCGACCACTGAACATGATCTTGAGCCCACAAATATCGTACCTCTCGATTTCCTCTCGTTAAGGGTTGAGCTCTCCAGGGGCGTCTGCTTCTTAAGTTGACCTCTCTTAATCTATTGCGAACAGTGTCAGGACTAACGGTTACATTATGTGTTTCCCGGAGAATTAAACTAAGCTCTGGTGCTGTAAGAGTCGGTCGACGTCGAGCATTTAATTGTAAAAAATGATCTTGCTGAGGGGTAGTAATGCGATGTCGCCCTGTGTGCCTTTCAGCAACATCACCACTTTCACGGTAGCGTGCACTTAATCGCGATATTACACTTTGCGCTGTATTTAATGCTCTAGCTACGTCGATTTGACGCATTCCAGCTTCGAGCATACCCATGGCCCTTAGCATTTCGTCTCTGTTAAGATGTCTACGCTCCATAATGTCGTTTAATACTAAACAGAGTTATTTGAATGAATTCTGGCCAGTTATCATAAAAACATAGCCAGTACAGGTTAAATTCGAACAATTGATGCTAGGTGCTTTTTATACATTTGACAAAAAATGCAGTGTGAGAAATAGGCATTTCGTGCATTACTTCGCTCACCGTGTCATAGTAACGTAGGAAAATGAAAAAAAGTGTCACTTCGCCCATTGCTATTGTTGCGGACCCGTGTGGACTCGACCTAACCTAACTATATGTCCCGCCCTCAGATGACCTTAACATCGCATTAAAAAATAGATACCGTAATTATTCATTCGAAGTTTCGAGAAGAATCGACTTCCCCTGGAATGGAGTAGTACATACGAGAACAATCGAAACCTTCTCTATGCACCTAACGATCTATGGACTATTCGAGAAATCTTTAGATGTGGGTATAAACAGCCGGCGGCTGGGGCCTATAGAGGGCAGACATAAATAGACCAGTACAGTTGACGCGCTAAAATTCAAAATAAATTCTTTCTAGATAAATAGTTATAAATCGTTTGTAAATAGTTCTTTAAGTCTTTTATCGTTATTTTTTTTTTGTTAATTAGTGTTAAATAAATTATTGGGTTTAAATAAATTGTGACTTTCTATCCACACGGAACCGACGAAAAACGTAACACTATCAATTCGCGAACCTTGTCATTTTTTGACGGTTGTAGAAAAATTCTTTTTTTTTATTTAAAAGATAAAATATTAATTTAATATATTCATACTCTACAAAATTTGAATACAAATTCTTTATTTATTTAGAATTAAATTATCGTTTTATTTCCATAGCTATTAAGCTGTTGCTTTGATTTATTAATTAACCATATATTTTGTTTATTGGCATGCGTATAAATACTATTACATACCAAACTCAATGCCAACAGGTTAGGCAAAAAACGCATGCTTGAAATGCTAAAAACACTAGAACTAGTTCAATTTATAGCGTAATAAAGGTGTTATTTAGAAGTTCTGTTTATGAGTAATTTAAGTAATTTAAATTTGTTTATTTTGCTTATTTTTTTGTTAAATTTTAAGGAATGTGATTGATATAGGTAATCATAGAAAACTGGGCATAGTTCTGCGTTTTTTTAAACGAATTCAGGACTGTTATGCAACACTCTACGCATGCATAATCATCAATTTAATTATAGAAGAATGGCTAATTAGTTAGTCTATAGCTGTAAGATTTAATACAATGCAGGACCTCTTTATTCCTACTATCATCTCTCGTTGATTCGACCTTCGCTGCTATTATTAAAAATTACATGTTCCACCTACACTCCTTGGAATCCGACGAAGGCATTGTCTCTGCAAGAGTACTTTCATTAGTACCTATACAGGATGTCGCGGAAATACGGAGAATTTTGAATTGAAGGAGCCAAATAGATTATTCTAAATACCATAGACCCCATAGACACGTATAGTCCAGTCATCTTAGTCGAAATAGGGTAGGAGCACAGAATATCTAGCTACGCAACAGAAGCCTCGTTACATGTATAAAATTGTAGGAAGCAAAAGGAGACAGGCTTTAAAAGCCTGTCTCCAAATCAGATATTTTGATGTGGTAGTTTCGCTACAATATAATAGAGGGCAATAAATTTAAAAGAAAACAGTTTTCTACAAACAAAATCTAAAAGAATTTTGTGCAGTGTTGCCATTGTGTAATTCATATCGTAATACTTCCTGATAAAGCCTACCTTCAAATTTGCTACATCATTTAAACATATTAAAATAGATCAGAGCTGTTTTTTTCAGTTTGCCATGTTAGTTGGAATTAAATCTTATGAGCTAAATTACAATTACTTCCTGACGTTTGATTGTATAATTAAATCCTGAATTTTCATTGTAATTCGGCGACAATATAATAAGGATTGTTCTACAGAACTATTATTATAGTTCTACCACTTCCTGACGTTTGATTGTGTTCATACCAAGTTCATATCGTATAATCGGGAAAAAACGGCGTTAGCGATAGCTATGAAATGAATATCGCTGTCATTTTATATGTAAATTTATATGGGAAATGTCATCGATCGTCCTTCTCAAGCCAACTGGACGCCGTTTTTTTCAGAAGCATATCAAGTGATACCATAATATAGTACTATATTACGATACATGGCGTTCGATTGGGCTTAAACTTGGTATACTATATCTTCAGTGACATTGTAATATCATGGTACCATGAGGCATATAAAGTGGTACCTTCTATAGTACCATATTTGATGACATAGCAATATTAGGTACATGGCGGCAATAGGGCTTAAACTTGGTATACTACGTATTTTCGGTGACATTGTAATATGATGGTACTATGGTGCATATAATCTGGTACTATAATATAGTACCATATTATGTACATGGCTTCGATTGGGCTTAAATTTGGGATACTACGTATCTTCGGTGATATTGTAATATTATGGTACCATGGAGCATAATAAGAGGTACCATAATATAGTACCATATTACGATACCATTTCCTGGCGTTCGATTAGGCTTAAACTTGTTATACTACGTATCTTCGGTTACATTGTAATATGATGGTACTATGATGCATATAAAATGGTACCTTAATATAGTACCATATTTCAATACCATTTCCTGGCGTTCGATTGAGCTCATATTTGATATATACTTGCGTATTTTTGATGACATTGCATTATTATTTTACCATGAAGCATATCAACTGGTACCATAATATAGTACTATATTACGTACATGGCGTTCGATTGGGCTTAAACTTGGGATACTACGTATTTTCGGTGACATTGTAATATGATGGTACTATGATGTATATAAAGTGGTACCTTAATATAGTACCATATTACGATACCATTTCATGGCCGTTCGATTGTTCTCAAATTTTGTATACTACGGATCTTCGGTGACATTGCAATATTATGGTACCTTAAAGTATATCGAGTGGTACCATAATATAGTACACTATTATGATATCATTTCCTGGAGTTGGATTGGGCCCAAATTTGGTATACTTGCGTTTCTTTATAAAGATCTGTTTAATTAATAATTTTAATTTATTTTACGAATTTTAATTTATTGTTCGATGTCGTGACAGCAACTTTTATGCCGAACTAATATATTATTAATTGTACCCGTGTCACTTTTTAAAATCTACCTAGGTCTATATAAATAACGTGGCAAACGGAAGAAATTTGTTATTATAGTATTTTTTAGTCAGTTAACATTTTTTTGTACTGCATTTTAATAAACTATTTCCATTATTATTAAACTTATATTTCATTACTAACGTTCCAGCATTAATAAATATCACTATCAATCGCCCTGTATATTATTAATTTTAAAAGTAATTAAAGGTATTTTCTTACTTAACATTATAAGGTATAGTGTATATTAAAAATATATATGTTTTGTAATAATATACTTAAAACTATTTTAATAGCCAAAAGAATAATTAATATAAGCGTATCTGACAAGGAAAGAAGAATAGAAAGAAACACATACTGCATTATACACAATAAAAAGAATGGGATGCCAATTCAAGTCTTTTTGAATCTGGCAACTGTGCATATTTAGCCGAGCTATAAGGCCGTCGACGAGCCGTCGATCCAAAACCGAAAGTTCAAAATTTCTAATTATATTCTGATTATGATATTGTCGCGCCATCTAGTATTCTATTTGTGCAATTTTAGCTCTTTCATTTCGAGTATTTTTCTGTTGCGTAGCTAGATATTCTGTGGTAGGAGTCTCGGAATTCAAGATAACCGGTTGTAAACTTGTATAAACCTTTATTTTAACATCTTAAAACATGTCTCAAAACCTACCGGTAGAGTGTGCGCGACTTGTAGATAACTGAGGTCAAAGGTAAAAAAATATCGATGCTTTGCGCATTTTTTACAAATATCTCGTTCCCTTTCACGTTTACGCTATTTGTATTCATTTTAAATATTGTAGAGGATAAAATTCTCTACAGCTTTTGTTTCAAACATTTTTTTGTACTTCAAACCGTTTTTGAGATAGAGAGCGGTGAGCGCGCAATCTTTCATTATGTACGGTTTCATTCAAGTTCAACCTGTAGTCTCGGTCAAAAACACGCCGTATAAAGTCCGTTAATTATTGAAAAATATATAATTATAAATAATTTACATTTTTTCCTAAAAGATCATATTGAATATAATAATTTTTTTCATAAATTAAGTACCTATATCTTCATTTAGTAACACTTATCTCTTTGTACAATTAGAAAATTATTAACAGAAATAATTCAATTACATTTTAATTATAGTTAGATTTATACTAATTACATTTTAAGTAAATAAAAAGACAAGAAATACATTTTTAATTTATATGTCTATTAAAAAATACGATTTCATACATTTCTCATGGTTGAATGGAATTTCAAATTCTTCTTCATTTTCATCTTCAACGACATTTGTCTCCAAGTCTTCTAGGATTTCGGGGTCAATTGTACCATCTTCATTGACATCACTCTGATAGGGTGAAGCATTGAGACAAGTTTGTCCATTATACTGGCCACAAGCTAAAGAGCACGGCAACCCTGATTTTCTGTATCCACATCGCGAACCACAACCATTCTTGCAGTTGCAGAATATTGTGTTCAGCAAATTTTCTGGAGCTGGAGGTAGAATAGTAGTGGTAGGTTCCAGGAATCCATTACGCATTATCCAACCCCACTCCTGGGGTTGTGAAAGAACTTGGTAGTAAACACGATTGAAATGTTGGTGAGCTGCTGCACTTGGTGGAAGATTTGATAATTGCACAGGTTTATTCAGTTTGGTTGATTTGATGAATTGTGTATAACGAAGATGATCGATGCTATAATTAAAATCTAATTAAAGTATTTTTTTGTTAATAATTAATGTTAGCATCATCAGCAGATGAAGATGATTATAAACTGAAAACTAGTTTATAATCATCTGCTGATGATGCTAACATGGTTAGCGAAACGCGCGTCCAGTGTAAAATAAAAGTGTTTTGGTGTATTGTGATGATTTAGTGTTTTTATTTTCCTGTGTAACAACAAAGGTTCCAACCCTCAACTGTAAATGAAGATATACTTAATTTATGAAAAAAATTATTATATTCAATATGATCTTTTATGAAAAAATATAAATTATTTATAATTAAATATTTTTCAATAATAACGGACTTTATACGGCGTGTTTTTGACCGAGACTACAGGTTGAACTTGAATGAAACCGTACATAATGAAAGATTGCGCGCTCACCGCTCTCTATCTCAAAAACGGTTTGAGGTACAAAAAAATTTTTGAAACAAAAGTTGTAGAGAATTTTATCCTCTACAATATTTATAATAAATACAAATAGCGTAAATGTAAAAGGGAACGAGATATTTGCAAAAAATGCACAAAAAATCGATTTTTTGACCTTTGACCTCAGTTATCTACAAGTCGCGCACACGCTATCATATGTAGGTTTTGATACATGTTTTAGGATGCTAAAATAAAGGTTTATACGAGTTTACAGCCGGCTATCTTGAATTCCGAGGTGAAACCCCTAAGATGACTGGACTAATACAGAAGTTTGCTGCAGATAAAAATAACATCAATGCGTCTCGAACGGTAATCTAAAAGCTATTACCTAACACCTATCATCTCTATTCTTTATCTGATTTCCCTCTCCCTGGTTTGTGTATAAATATTTTAAAAATCTATAATTATTTATGTATACAGAGTGTCTTAAAAGTGAATGTTTTGAATTTAAAGAAATATGTTTATTTTTAAATAGGCGGGTCATGAAGCAACCTGTATATTGATTTGTTTGACCACAGACTTCATATACAGGGTGACAATTTGAAAACGAATAGTATTTAATATTGCCTCTACCGATGATAGTATTGTGACGTTTTTCCTCGGTTCCGTGTGGATAGAAAGTCACAATTTATTTAAACACCATTTATTTAACACTAATTAACAAAAACAATAACGATAAAAACTTAAAGAACCATTTACAAACGATTTATAACTATTTATCAAGAAAGAATTTATTTTGAGTTTTAGCGCGTCAACTGTACTCGTCTATTTAAGTCTGTCCTTCAGGCTCCAGCCGCCGGCTTTTATACCCACAGCTAAAGAGCTTCTCGAAAAGTCCATAAATCATTAGGTGCATAGAGAACCTTTCGAATGTTCTCGTATGTACTACTCCATTCCAGTGGAACTCGATTTTTCTCGAACGTCCGAATGAATCATTACGGTGTCTATTCTTTAATGCGATGTTAAGGTCATCTGAGGGCGGGACATATAGTTAGGTTAGGTCGAGTCCACACGGGACCCCACCAACCCCTTGACCCCAGGGCACCTACCCCTAAAATTTTAAATAGTAACCTCTATTTCTTTTACCATTTTTGTGTTTCTTATTCTACATAAACTGCATTATTTTTTTTGAGAATTTTATAAGGAACACTTCTTCTTCTTCTTCCTTCTTCATACTAGGCGAATCGCCTGTTTGGTTTCGTCGTCTCTACCGGTTAGACTGACAAGTTGTCGCTCCATCGTTTTCGTGGACGTCCTAAGCTTCTGCGACCTAGCGGTGATTTGTCGCGTGCAACTCTCACTATCCTTCTGTTGTCCATTCTGCTGATATGCTCGTTCCATTCTTCCTTTCTGCTAAGTACCCACTCATTTACATTTTCCACCTTGCACGCTCTTCTTATGCTTTCATTTCTCTCCCTGTCCAGAAGCGTCTTTCCAGCTATTCTGCGTAGTACTCTCATTTCGGTTGTTTCTAGTAGTTGTTTAGTTTTCGCTGTATCAGGTCGAGTTTCTGCAGTGTATGTCATTATTGGTCGTAGCGTTGCCTTGTAAATTCTCGCTTTAGTCTCCACCTCAATGTTTTTATTTCGCCATATTGTATCATTTAGGCATCCTGCTATTCTGGTTACCTTCGTTGTCCGTTCTCGCACCTCCGCTTCTACATCACCATATCCTGAGATTTCTATGCCTAGATACTTAAACTTCATCTCTTGCTGAATAACATTGCCCTCGACTTCCAGTTTGCATCTTAGTGGTACTTTTAATGTCGTCATGCATTTAGTTTTCTGAGTCGATATTATCATAATAAGTGATTTGGCAGTGCAATTAAATCGATGTAATAAGCGCTGTAGATCGTTCTCATTTTCAGCTACCAATACGGCGTCGTCGGCATAGCATAGAATAGTAATTTCCTGGTCGCCCATACTGGATCCCTTCAGTAAACGTACATTTCCTATTATTTCGTCCATAATGATGTTGAAAAGAAGAGGGCTCAGGGAGTCACCTTGTCGGATACCACAGCCTACATTTATTGGTTCGGTCAGGACCCCGTTAATTTTAGCTTGAACTTGGTTCGCTTCATATATGTTTTGTATGGTTTTAACGAGGTTGTGTGGGATTTGCCTATTGTAAAGAAGGTGTACAACGTCTCTTAGCTGCACACCGTCGAACGCTTTTTCTAAATCAATAAAACACATATACGCTGGTTTGTTATATTCGATTGATTTTTCTGTTATCTGTCTTATGTCAAAAACCGCGTCTGTGCATGATCTGCCCGATCTGAAACCTTACTGTTCATCTGCTAAGCATGTTAAGTCGTTAATTTTGGTTGTTATCACTTTTGTCGTAAGTTTTAGTGTGGTGCTTAGAAGATTTATGCCTCTATAGTTTGAGGGCAGCTTCTTATCTTCTCTTTTAAACATCAAGATAGTGGTGCTGGTTCGCCATTCATCGGGTATCCTGTGTTGGTAAAGAATTTTTTGAATCAGGGATGTTAGCTGCTGTATAAGACTAATATAAGGAACACAAAAATGGTTAAAAGAAATAGGGGTTGCCATTTAAAATTTTAGGGGTAGGTGCCCTGGGGGTCAAAGGGTTGAAAGTAACACGACAACAAATGCTTAAAAAATTGTCCCCCTTGATATGGAAATTGACGTATTTTGCCAAATTTTCATACTATCATCGGTAGAAGTAATATTAAATACTGTTCGTTTTCAAACTGTCATCCTGTATACAGGTTGAGTCTTAAATAAGTCAAATATTTTTAGGGGTAGTATATTTCGACCTCAGAAACACAATTATGAGGTTTTTTTGCGAAAAAAAAATTGAAAATTTGGAATTTTTTGAAATTTTTTTTAGTTTTTGGTAAAAAAAATATAACTTCTTGATGATATGGCAACATAGATAGTAGATTAAATTTACAAGAAAAAGAAAATCCAGAAAAGATCCAGTGGTTCTCAAAATTTAAGCAAAATATCATTTTTTTGGAAATTTTCAAAGTGAAATAACTCGCTTATTTTGAACTTATTTGTAAAACGGTAAAGAGAAAATATGTGTCTTTTATCGAGATCTACAAGCCCTGAAAATATTTGCACTTATTTAAGACCCGCCCTGTACATACTATTTTATATTTTGTTTACCTTTTTCTATGTCTTGGTATTTATCGAATGGTTTGAGGGTATTTTCTTTGGTAAATCCTCCGAAGGCATACACCAAATGCGTGCATAGGTACGGATTGATGTTCTGTGGGCTGAATTTGGCCTGTCCGGGCCTGTACACCGACCAATTCGTGTAATAACAAACCACACGCATTTCTTTTGAATCTAGAAAAAAAATTAAAAAAATGAATAGTTATTTTTTATACAAGACGATAAAATGGTATTTTATCGTCAACCAAAACAACGTAAAAGATCCCAAGCAGCATTTGGACGTCGGGACAACGTTGTGTCACGCGACCAAACGTCGGGGCGCAACGTCGGCACAACCTCGTGCCAACCCTAGTCTGCACTAGTTTGGAGAATAATTTTTGGGTCGAAACGACGTTGGATACCGACGTTGGCTAGAAGCCTAATTTAGTACAAACTGCAACGTTGTTTAAAATCCTAATTCACAGAAATACAAAACTAATATGGCGTCTAAGTCGCGTTTTATCCTAAATTGGGATAATTATAGTAAAAATATTATTTTCATGATTTAGTTAGAGACATATGTCAGATGGCAGTGAAGGAAAACAAAACAAAAGTATTTAAGTGTGGAGGATGTTTGAAGATCATAATTATTGAAACACTTTAACCGACTCTGTAACTCGTTACCCAAGGCAGAAAAGTTAAACGCAAATAACTTTATTGATAAATGTATTGTTTCTACTTTGAAAAATACTAATGGGCCTTAAAATTAAAGAAGTTTTAAAAATTTTCTTGAATTTTTTTTTTTTTTGTAAAATGAGAATAATTTATTCGCAGTCGAAAAAATTGTTTCCGCGTGTTTTTTAGGGTCAAATATTTCAAGTTAATGTATTCAAAAAGCAGGAATTGCTATTTTAGGAACGAAACATTTTCTTATTTAACAACATGGCGGCTTTCACTTTGTTGTTTTAGAGATTAAGATGGAGTAATTCGAGTAGTCGCATACTGGACTAATAAAGTCGCAGTTAGGCCTTAACAGGTAGTAATACTAGTCTCAAGATTGCCTAATTTAGTCATTCTAGAGTCTAGCTTGTGCCGCCCTCTATAATCTATAATCTAAATAAACGAGGGAGTGGATAAACTATCGGTAATATATGTCGATGTATATTTAAATTTAGTTTTATATGTACCTTTCTTATGTTCCATTTTAATTAAGTTTTTTTTATAAAAACAAAAACAGCACTGAACTGTCTGACTGAACAGAACAATGAAGTGAAAATTTAAGATTTAAGGTTATGGTTCAATACAGTTGCAAAAAGGTAGTGACTCGACGTCCTACCAACGTAAGAATAAAGGAAATCTAAACAACGTTGGAATTAGTAAAACAGACGACGTTTGCATAACGTTGGAATAGGTCCTGAAACTGACGTCGGAAAACTCTATATTGTCCAACGTTGTAACTACGTTGTCCGAATCACCTAAAGATCACTTAAGCAAAAAAGGTTACAAGACAACGTTTATTCGACGTCGCAGAAGCTTCTACTTTGCTGTAGCACTAGTCCAACGTCGGCACAACGCTATAAAAACGTTTAAATTTATTTTAACACCCATGGTAGGGAGCTAACTATTTTTTGTAACTAATCCAACGTTGTGTTTAGTAAACGTGTGGTCGCAAGTCGTGAAAATGCTACTTGGGATTGGTTAGGGTGGACGATTTCGGAAGACGATAATACAATTTTATCGTCGTGTATAAAACAATATTTTTTTTTCCATAGCGAGTTACATTTTAAAAAATATACAGAAATTGTTCTGGGTTGGCGTTGGTTTCTATACAGGGTGGGCCACTGAAAATTTACAATGGCTATAATTTTTAAACCAAAAAAGATATCAAAAAAATAAAAAATGCCGTTTCTATAATATCGTGGGGGAATACATATGACGTATTTTTTGAACCACCCCGACCTACCCCTTAGGAGGCACCCCTACTCACTTGAAAATCTTAAATGGGGTAAAATCTTAAACAGTTGCTATGGAAAAAAAGAATAAGGACAACTTTTTATTTATTTTTTCTGTTCTGAAAAAATCTAATTTTATAAATATAAATTATTTATAAACATAGAAAAGAAAGATATGTTATCACACCTGTTTGTGTTACTTTATATCCATATACATTAGTTAGTTACTACAAGAAATTTCTTATAAATATTAATATATCTAATATAGATTTAAATTCAGTCAAGGACAGGGGATACAGGGTGTCCCATTTTCGTGTGTTTTACACGGTTTTTCCTTTATGAGTAGAGATACGAAGATATACGGCTTCCACATCACTACTTTTTTATGAAACTAAAGATGAAGAACTACCAGATTTATGCGAAAACAGTATTTTGTTTGGTGGACACGCTATACAAGGTAGGCGAAATTCCACGCTTTTAAAGGGAAACATCGGTGTCTGGAGCTCAATTTTTATCAAAAAACCGGTGAAAACCGCACATCGATATCTGTTACCGGTTCGGAGTTACGGGATGTTTTTCAAAAATGGGCATTTTTAACAAATCGAAATTAGAATAATATTCCATTTAATAGAATTAAAGGTTTAAGTATAATTTTTCAATAATAGTATTTTCCTTTAAAAGCGTCCAGTTTGATCTTGTACAAGGTGGACCCTTTTGGTTGATTCTATAGGGTATCTAGGAAACCGTGAGAAATATTCAAATTTTGATACTGCAGTCTCGGGTTCCTTTTTTGAAAAAATTACAATGACGCAAACGGATCGTGGCTATCTTGATCGGTTTTGAAGCTACAGGGGGATTCTCAAATATTGTACATTTTGAAGATGTTCGATAGTTTGTTTATTTCAGCAACCACGGAAAAATGGATTATACATTCTAAAGGCACTTTTCTGTGTAGAATGCAGTGGCGTAGTCAGACTTTTTTCGAAAAAAATATTTTTTGAGATATTAACTATACTTACGTTTTTTTAAATAGAATTCCCTGTATATTTTTAAATTTTCTTATTCAGCTTGGCATGGGCTTCGCGAAAATATATAACACTCTATATTTATTTTCACTATTAACCTCAACATTTCAAATTTTTCTTAAAATATCCACTTAGTAGATAGTAGGCCGCGCCGAGTAACAAAGTAAACGGTTGTCATGGTGATCGGAACACACCTGATGGATGCGGGACATTTCATATCAACAAATTGAAGTGTGTGTATTTTAAATAATAAAAAAATGAGTAAATTTGAAACTTTTGAGAAATATAACATTCTAACATATTATAATTGAGCCTAACAAACATAAGCAAATGGCAGCTGATTTATATTTTGAGCGGTATCCAGAGCGCGAGCAACCAAACCCAATCATTTTTAAAAGGTTAGAAGATAGTTTAATCAATTTTGGATCTTTTCAAAAACCGCGTCTGAAAAATTATCAGAAAGAAGATGAATATAATCAATATATTAATGTCCTCGGAGCCGTAACACTAGATCCAACAAAATCAAGTAGAGCTATTGAAATCCTGTTATTGGCGGCGTGCGGAGACGGTACCAACTCTGTCTAGATAATAATGGGCAGCAGTCTGAACATTTAATGTAGTCTTTGTGGTTTTATTTTTTTTATATTAACTGAGAAGCCCGATTGAAGTAACCTCTTGAGTTTATATTAAAATATGTTCTTTTGTTTCTGTCACACTTATTTTTTATTTGCTTCGTATTGTTCGATTTTATTTAATTGCTAATCTATGTATTCGGCTTGATTTTCTTCATCTTCTTTCTGATAATTTTTCGGACGCGGTTTTTGAAAAAATCCAAAATTGATTAAACTATCTTCTAACCTTTTAAAAATGGCTGGGTTTGGTTGCTCGCCCTCTGGATATCGCTCAAAATCTAAATCAGCTGCCATTTGCTTATGTTTGTTAGACTCAATATAACATTCTAACATATTATATTTCTCAAAATTTTCAAATTTACTCATTTTTTTATTATTTAAAATACACACACTTCAATCTGTTGAAATGAAATGTCCCGCATCCATCAAAGGTATGTTCCAATCACCATGACAACCGTTTACTTTGTTTCTCGGCGCCGCCTACTATCTACAAAGTGGATATTTTAGGAAAAATTTGAAATGGTTAGGTTAATAGTGAAAATACATAAATATAGAGTGTTATATATTTTCGAGAAGCCCATGCCAAGCTGAATAAGAAAATTTAAAAATATATAAAAAAAACATAAGTATAGTTAATATCTCAAAAAATATTTTTTTTTCGAAAAAAGTCTGACTACACCACTGCGTTCTATAAAGAAAAATGCCTTTAGAATGTATAATTCATTTTTCCGAGGTTGGCTGAAATAAACAAACTATCGAACATCTTCAAAAAGTACAAAATTTAAGAATTCCCCTGTAGCTTCGAAACCGATCAAGATAGCCACGATCCGTTTGCGTCATTGTAATTTTTTCAAAAAAAGAACCCGAGACTGCAGTATCAAAATTTGAATATTTCTTACGGTTTCCTGGATACCCTATAGAAACAACCAAAATGGTCCACCCTCTACATACAAATAGCAATAGCAAGAAGAGGCAATAACAAGAACATTCACAACTTACCTGTGAGTTTCGTCCATGTCGATAACGATATCAGCAAAATCAACCATCGACAGATATCCGTCTGAAACAAAGAGAAGGAACATTACTTTCTCATAAAAATTTTACCCTACTTTTACTATTTACTATTTCTATAGAATGGCGTGAATATTCAGATTTTGCACTGGTTGCATTTTTATTTAAATACATTATTAATACGTTTCTTCAAAAGGCAGAAAAAGCAAAGCTAATAGAGAATTCTTTTTGTAGAGAGGCGCATTTTCTATTTTTACATTTTACAATTTTTTTTTAATTACCTTTAAAATTTACAAGATATGTTACAAGTGAGGGCTGTAAAAACTTTCATGGACTATAATTTCCTCAGTAAGCATTTTAGAGCTTTATGTTTATAGAAACTTGTTGTGTACTTTGGTGGATTATATTATAATCACACTTTTAAATAAACTCAATATCATGACGATAGATCTTCAATGTTTTATTTGTTTGTACCATCCTACAATCAAGAGAAACCATATTTGGTATCGGTACTCTTACGCTTTCTATTATTAGTGTACGTTTAAAGTGAAACTTAGAAGATGGTACATACCTGATGGTAAAAATATCTATTTGTTGTTAAATGTAAATAAAATTCGAGTACCTACTTAAAATTACGTATGTTTCATTTTATCTTTGATTAAAAAACAACTCGTAGTGGTGAAATGTACGATAATAGTTTAGAGTAATAATGAGCGAATAAAATATTTTTCTTTGTTTTTGGATAGATGATGTTTTGTGGTTAAAACATTCTGTTATCAATAACAGAAACAACAATTTCTTGACTTCTAAAATTCGATGTGTCAGCACCACATTTTGATTAACCTGTATTTACATTTTTCTTGTATAAGTGGGTTTACTATAATTCGATGCATATGGAGAGTCTATATCTTTTATATATGTATGTCTTTGTATATAAAAGAATTGTTCGTTGTTTCATAGTAAAAAGACTTTTTTTTAAGATAGGCACTGTATAAATATATGAATAAACATATAAACACTATAAATGCAATATATTATTAAATAACAAATACCCATTTTATAAAAAACATTATACATTTCAGACAGATAAAAAATAATGTGAAACACAAAAAATTAAATGTTTCTAAAATTAATGGATTTTAAAGCGATTGGGCCTATAATATTGATTTTTGTTTTTTCCGTCAACTGTTATTGTTTCTGCTACAATAAAACATATCAATCTATATACAATACCGAAGGTTTTTCAAAGGTGGCTCACCCCTATACCTTTTTTTATTTTTTCTGATAAAAAAACAAGATTTGGTATTTTAGTATACCGGGTGCATCTCAAAAGTGGCTCACCTCTATAACTTTTTTATTTTTTTAGATAAAAAAAAGAGATTTGGTACGTTAGTATATGACATAAATTAGGATTGATTGACGAATTCAATTGTTTTTCGTCACTTCCTGTTTCACCGGATTTTTTTTTACTTCGTTCGATAGAAAATGACACTCTGAATAGAATGACATATCATATGTCAACTTTTGTCATTTTCTTATATGGTTTATTTCAAATTGTAACATGCGGTTCATAACGACAATTTGACTTGGAATACCAAGTGTGTTGTACCAAATTATTCGTAAAAAAATGCCTTTTTCTAAATATATTAATAAGTTAATCGTTCAATTTGAAAAAAATGAGATATGATTAAAAATACGATTTGGGTATCTTTAAACCGGCCAGGACAAGACACGAAAAACATTAGACGATCAAATTTATTTTCCAAGGCTCCTTGATTAAAAATTAGTGTTTTTAACACAGCCACTCTAGATTGAAATTTAAAATACGATTTTTTTAAAGCGAAAATTTCATAAGTTGACATGTGATATGTCATTCTATTCAGAATGTCATTTTCTATCCAATAAAGCAAAAATATACCGGGGTGCCATTTAAAAATCAAAAGTTGTAATCATTTCCGGTGAAACAGGAAGTGACTAAAAACAATTGAATACGTCAATCAATCCTAATTTATGTCATATACTAACATACCAAATCTCGTTTCTTTATCTGAAAAAATAAAACGGTTATAGAGGTGAGCCACTTCTGAGACGCACGGTATACTTAATATTTCGAGTAAAATTGTCGGTATATCTATTGCCATTGTCACTCTATACAGGGTTGTTCACCACATACGACACGGAGTATTGTAGCTAAACGATGAAAAAACTGTTTTTGAAATATTTTCAATTTTGTGAAATTGCAGTAAAAATTTTAAGGCTTCATTTCTCCAAGGGTATCAAAGTTTTTAATACTAAATATTTACTGAAGTTTATTTACTGATCACTTATTGTGTTGCAATAATAAAAATAATACTACCTTATACAGAGTGTCTAAAAATTTATTTTAAATAATTATTAGCTTCAAACGGCAATAACTTGTTTAATTTAAATGGAATACCCTCTACATTTTACGAGAATCAGATGCACAATTTAATTGTCTATCAAATTATATTATACCATTTTTCCCTATCTCTTTAAGTTTCCGTAGAAAATGCATTTTCTTGTAATTTAGAACTTATTTATCAATATACCCATGGACTATTGACATTTTAGATTATTTTTAAAGATGTACCAAATTTTTAAAGAGTACAGATACTAATATTGTCGATATAATTCGTTTATTTCATTAAAAAATAAAAAAAAAACTGTTTAAATACCTATTTGTTAAAAAGGATCAATTAATATGATTCCAGTATTCAAACTACATTAACTGACTGTTTGCGTTGATTGATAATAATTGCTCCAAATACTAAAAAACTGAATTTTGTATGGGCATTAGGCAGTGTGATAAAAAGTAACACCTTAAAAATGATATTTCATTTCTTAATAAATGCTTATTTATAACAACAGAGACTTTAATTTGATAACTTATTATTATATTGATTTCTGACTCAAATCCACATTTATTTATAATAATTTATTAACGAACACAATTAAGTATGTAATTAATTAGATATGGACGGAAATAATGGTGTTATATTTAATTAATGGTATACTCTTTTATAAAGATTTAAATAGTTTTCTTTTTGCATACAAATGGGCTAGTAATATTATCGTTTTGCTAAAAACGATAATATTACTAGTTTGTACATTTTGTACATTTGTTGCTTTAAAAACAATCTCAAATATCAATATTCCATGGATATATTGATAAATGAGGTCTAAATTAAAAGAAAATGCATTTTCTACGAAAACTTGGTAAAAAATGGTATAATACAATTTGATAGACAATTTAATTGTGCATCTGATTCTCCTAAAATATACAGGGCATTTCATTTAAATTAAAGAAGTTACTGCCGTTTGAAGCTAATAATTATTTAAAATAAATTTTTAGACACTCTGTATAAGGTAGTATTATTTTTATTATTGCAACACAATAACTGATCAATAAATAAACTTCATTAAATATTTAGTATTAAAACATTGATACCCTTGGAGAAATGAAGCTTTAAAATTTTTACTGCAATTTCACAAAATTGAAAATATTTCAAAAACGGTAAGGTTTAAGTATAATAAACCTTAATCAAATTTACCTTTATTTTAATCGTAGAAACCAAAAATGTAATAATATACAGGGTGTTCCATTTAAAAAAATACAACTTTGATATTTTTTATTTATTTGGGACACTCTGTATGTTGTAAAAATATTTTTAAATTGTAGCTATAATAGTCCTTCAACGAACCCCAAACTTACAATTTGTAAAAATATCATCGTTTAGCCACAATACTCCGTGTCGTATGTGGTGAACAACCCTGTAGAGGTGAGCCACTTCTGAGACGCACGGTACACTTGGTATTTCGAGTAAAATTGTCGGTATATCTATTACCATTGTCACTCTATATAGATTGAAATTTAAAATACTATTTTTTAAGCGTGAATGTCAAAAGTTAACATTGCGATATGTCATTCAAAACGTGATTTTCTATCAAATAAAGTAAAGAAAATACCGACAGGTCATTTCCGGTGTAACAGGAAGTGAACAATTGAATACATTTATCAATCCTAATTTATGCCACATACCAAATCGCATTGTTTTATCTGAAAAAATCAAGAAAAGTTATAGGGGTGAGCCAAAAATTTTATTTTTTTACTACTCTGAGGATAGTACTAAATAAATACAAAATACAATCTTTTATTGTAGAATGGTCACGATTTCCGATTAGTACTTTTGATAATACGTTCAATTTTACCTTCACGACTAAATCTAAAACACAACTGTACAAGTGAAAGGAGAAAGAAAAACAACCCAAAGTTCAGATATCACAATATTATATTTAAGGACAAAACAGTATTACATTATTAATAATAAAAAAAATATTAGAAAGAACACAGAGAACCCCACTGGCCACATACGAGTAACAAATAAAAAAAGAGTCGACCATTTCGTTATGGCACAAACACACAAGAAGACAGAAGGGCTAAGAAAATATACAGGGCGTTTCATAAGAAAGAGAGAACATGTTTTTTTTTCTGAAAGAAGATTTTTTACTTATGGAACACCCCGTATAGAAAAATAAACAGTTTGCAGAGAGGGTGTACAAGGCTATACAAACAGTGCTGGCAGTAATATATACATGCAATCCTAAGCTTAAGTTACTAAAATTATAACGATAACAAAATATATTTACATATACGGAACGACCAAAAATGATTGAAATTGTCTTACATTATTATAGACCCAATTTAATACTATTAATACTATATATTAATATAAAATTATTTATATTTTTTCGCGTTGTTTATACACTAGTTTAAATCGTATTTAACAAGTATAACATTTTATTGCCAACCAAATGAACAAAGTATAGCCAACTATTTCAGACATTTTTGATAACTCCGTAGTTATTTTGTGTTTTATTTTTTAAATCCCTTCAGTCTCAATACAAAATTATTTTAAATTCCAACAATAATAAATAATAATAAACCAACTCATTCCATTGTATTATTATTCACCTAATTTGTCGATTTTTTTAAAACATAACCATACAAAAAGTTTCTATACTGAAAACTGAAAGGTTAGTACCCCAAAATCATAAAAAAATCGTTCAATAACCTTTTTCGGGGTCATTTCAAATAAATAGATCACTAAAAAACCATCACAACGACCTACGTTATGTTTTCGGTACCGCCCTAGGAGGTAGCGCGAGGTTCCTGGACATTTCCACACGAATCGGTACTATTTTAATCGTCCTTGTATCGGGCTTGGGGCGGATCTCCACCACGCGAGCCTTCATGGTCACCTCTTCTTCGTCCTCTAAGTCTTGAGCTAACACCCTCACAGGCACAAACTTGCTATCCGACTTTGAGCGTGACTCTAACACGTCTTGGTTCAGTACTCTGACTTGGACTAGTTCAGATCGACCGCCTTCAAGCAGTTCATCGGTTGATGTGAAGCTGGGGTTCAAGTTATTCTGGAAAAGACCTTCTAAAGATATTGTGGAAGTTTCCGGAGATAGATGTTTAGGTGTAACAACGTTGATGTGGGAAATTCCGTCAATGATTTCGGGTTTTCCACCAATATTTGTTAGGACTTTGTTATCTACAACCTTACTACCGCCATGAATCTCAAATTTACGCTCTTCGCGTTGATTGGGCTGTCCCATTTTTAACTCTAAATCTACATTCTTCAGGTTAAAATTCTTTGATTTATCTGGACTTGGAACTTGTTCAATTTTGGCTGGACTCTCACCAACTTTACTGTCAGTAGACGAATAAACAGGAGATATAGGTTCGTTCAAACTGATCTCATTTGATACAGGGTCTTTAATAACCGTCTCATTGTTTCCATCAACAATTTTAATGAACGTTATCCTTGAGATCTCTCCTATTTTATCCAATGTAGGTAACACCTCCACCTTTGCCTCTTTGGTTTTCACTTCTTTGATCCTATTCACTTCGATCAATCGTTCAATTTTACGTGATTTCTCATCGAATGATGATGACGCTGCTGATTCAGTTGTAGAGTTCATTTCATCGACTTGAGCAAAAACGTGATGTAGAGTTGTCAAGCTTGGATCAGTTGTATCGGTCGTGAACATCTTAATCGTAGTGAATTGATCACTAGAAACAGTCTCTGTGTCAGTTTCAATCACATCACCTATTGTAGTAGACTCAGTAGCCGAAGAAACAGTCGAAGACAAAACAGCAGGAGTATTCATCTTCCTTTTTGCAAACAAATTTTTGTTTCTTTGCTTCACTGCCTCGGTGTCTACCCCTAAATCTTCCTGATTCACTTCCGATTTAACTGCTGGATTATTAGAAGGTTTCGTAAACTTAGGTTTATTAATCCTGCCCTTAGCTGGTTTGTTCACAAAAGGAGTATTCACAATTCTTCTTGTAGTAGACCTAGTAAAGGAAGGTTTTGAAGTAGGAATAACTTCTTCATCTTCTTCAAATTCTTCTTCGTTTTCTTCATCCTCATCCTCTTCAGTTTTCCTGTTATTATTTCTCTGGTTAACATACTGTCTAACTGATATAGGACTTGTTGATCTTACTCGACTACTCAAAGGTCTGACTGTTGTTGACGGCCTAGAAAACCTATTTTTACTAGCTCCAGATCTAGTAAAAGATCTTCTAGTACTAGAACTCACAGAAGAAGGAGTGGTGCTTGTAGTAAGTGATGGTTTACGGGAGAATGACAGTCCAGGACGTTCTTTTAAAGTCCTTAAAGTACTACGACGTCTCGGTTCCGATGTTGTTGTAATTCTGTGAGTTGTTGGTGTGTTATTATTGTCCGTGAATGTTGTAACTTCTAAATCTGAATCGGTAGTACTTGTTTCGAAGTTGCTAACAGAAGTTACATCAAAAGATCCCTCAGTTGTCGGACTGAAAGTTGTTTCTTTCACACTTTCAGTTGTGGTAATACCAACTTCATCTTCTTTTGAGATTAAAGTAGTAAATTCTTCAAGTTTATTGAACCCATCTTCTGTACTGACTGTCAATTCTAAAATTGACTGCGTTGTTGCATCAGTTTCCGAAAGCTCAGTTGTATTATCATCAGTAGATGAAGCAACAGTAGTAGTGCTAGACCTTGATTTGGATCCTGGACGACTTTTTAGCAAATCTTGCTGAGATTTAGTCTGAACTTCTTCTTTACTCACGGCTACTTTCTGTCTTGTTAGAATAGCCTTGTTATCTGAATCAGTCTCATTGTTGTTTACCATCTGATTAACTTCTAACTCCGATTCAGGCTTAGTAGGATCAGTAAATTTGTCTTTATCAATCAAAGTTTCTGATTCGTTAAGACTATTCAAAGCAGTTTTAAATACGTACGAACTAATAGTTTTGTTTGCCTTGACACCATCATCGTTATCTTCCTCATCCTCGTCATTAAAGTTAGTGTTAGACTCAAACTTATGAGTCCTACTAAGTGAAGAAGTCGAGAATATAGTATACTTAGGTTTGTCTTCTTCGTTTTCTGGATGTTCGTCTTCATCCTCATCTTCTTCATCGTCCGAGTTAAAATCTTCATCTTCTTCATCGTTATCTTCAACATCAAACCTTTCCGTTGTAGAATACGGCTTTCTTGAATACAGGTTATACCGAGGACTCAGTGGAGCCTTCGTAGATTCAAAGAAAGTCTCTTCAGTGGTAGTCTTTTTCCCAAAGCTCGGTTTAAAAGACTTCCTGCTAACCGATTCCTCACTGGCAGAAGCTTGGGTGGTAGATCTTCCAAAATATCGACCTCTTGTCGATGATGGCAAAGAACTAGGAGTTGTTGGACGTCTTCTAATATACGTTCTTCCGGTAGTAGTGAAACTATTTTTTTCGGTAGTTGTTGCAGAGCTCTGTGAATCAAATTCGGTTGTAGTTTCAGTGTTAGTGGTTTTACCCCTTATAAAGTTCTTTCTTACAAGCTTAGTAGTTTCGTCTTTTGATGTAGCATCCAAATTATTAGAAGACCCAGGCCTAAAACGACGTATAACTTTCCGGCCTCTGACGGTATTTGCTTCTGTGGTTGAGCTAATATCAGTTGCATTAAATTTTCTGATAATTTTCCTGGTTCTCAGTATTCTAGTAGGTTCAGTTCGTGACAATAAAGTTACTGACTGGATATTTTCACTTGTAGAAGTCGTAGTAGTCGTTGGAGTGGTAGTTTCGTTATCACTACCTAAATCTAACTCTCGGTTCTCTTTTTCTATCGATGTTTTGGTGAATATGCTTTCTTTGTTCTTGCCGAAACCAAACTGCTTTCTCAGCTTATCATCAAAACCAAACGTATTAATCTTGCTACTTTCCCTGATGTTAGACTCAGATAACTTAATATTTTCACCTTCTTCCCCATTTAACACGTCAATATGATCGCTGGTAGTGTCTTCTTCTTCATCTTCTATATCTGTATTGTTCTTGGTGACACCAAACCTAGACTTGGTACTGAATAGTGCTATTAAAGGATTTTCTGATAAGGTTGTTGTTTCAGTGGTTGAAGAACTAGAAGACACTTGGTTTGATTTAAAGAATATCGATTTTCTTCGTGAATTAGGTAATACAGAGCTTGTGGATAGGGGTTCAATAGATGTATTTTCCGTAGTACTCGATCCAGACGTAGGTCTAAACCTTCTAATTATTTTCCTGCTTCTTGGTGTGATTTTAACACTATTCTCTGAAACATCTGGTTGTGGTGTTGTAGATGAGATCTCAGACGTAGATTTGGCGGTGGTTGATCTAAAACGCCTGATTACTTTTCTGCTGGCTGATTTATCCGATTCTGCATCGATTTGATCGACGTTTTTCTGGATTACTCTACGACTTTTTCCGAAATTTGAAGAATCTATTAGCTTCCTTGCTAGAGGTAAGGTTCTGGATCCAGTTTTTTCGTCTTCTTCTAGTACTTTCTCTGTAGTTGATGTAGTACTGGAAGTAGATGAACCTACGGGTCTTCGACGTCTCTTATTAAGGTTTATTTCTCCCTTCTTCAAATCAACCGAAGTTAACGAAGATAAATCAGCCAATTCAACAGGTCTGTATTTCCGGTTCTGTTCCAGGTTGTAATCGATTTGATTCTCTGTAGTACTGGCAATGAAACGTGCCTTGGACCTGACAGATTTAACTTCGGTCCTTTCGGCTTTGTCCTCCTGCTCGGCGTCTTCGTTGCGGTTTGTACCAGCGAATCTAACTCTATTTCTTATTCTACGTGTACCAGAATCTGTGGTGGTGGGTATAGTCTCGCCCCTAGCCCGCGATTTGAAACTAGACTGACTCACCTTTGCAGCAGATTCGCTCGAAGGAGTTTGTGTTGTTGTTGTAGTGGAACTCTGAGTGAAGGGTCTAGGATGGAACAAAACCGGACGTCTTCTTTCCGGTACTTCTGATGTGGAGGAATTGCTGGAAGAAGTTGACGATGCGAGGTCTCTTTGAGGTTCGGTAGATGATGGTGAGGTAATAGATGTTGATTCCGATGGTGGGCTTGGTGGTGTTTGTGATGTAGGAGTGGTTATAAGGATTTCGGTTTCGGTAACTGAAGAGGCGGCTTCGTTTTGACCACTTTCAGATTTTAATCTGAAAAAGGAATGAAATAAGTACTTATGTGAAATTATTTCTGTATGCTTTTGAAATATTGACAATGAAATAATGGGTTTAATATTGGAAAATGAATTTTAGTATGAATGTATGTATTTTTTTGTACTTCAAAGTAGTAGTGGGAACTATCGAATGAATACTATCGAAACATTCGATAGTTGCAATTCATTCGACTAATTCGATAGATAGTAAGAGAACATTCGTTGAAAACTATTCGAATAAAAATTATTATCGAATAGATGCGGCATCTGCCTTGAAATATTGTATTCTAGTAATTCGGCAGCAAAAACCATTCGTTTATAAAACTCATTCATTTATGAAATTCATTTATTCGTCAGGATCGATTATAATAAAATATTAACTGGATTTTAGTTGTCGCTCGGCGACGTAGGTTTCTTTCCGAGAAACCCGACAGCGGTCGACACATTATTTTTTTTATTGAGGTGCTAGTATTTACACATTAAATACATTATGAAGGGCGCTGTTGCCATATATTGGTATTAATTCATATTAGCAAAGAATATTATTATTTGCCATTAGTTAGTTAGGGATAGTATGTCTATATATTTTGCATTTTTTTATTAATATTCTGTTGTTACACTGCAATAATACTTTTTATTTTGGATGTAGGAAAATTATCTTTAATGTTTTTAAGCAAAGACTGGTTTAATAAATAATAATAACAGTAATAATTTGTTATACCTATTAACAACAAAATTTAAAATCATTTAATATAAACATTTTTTTAAGTAGGAGCAAAATATAAACAACAAATTAGAAGTCAAAATTATTTATATTAGATCCTGTTTAAAAATAATATAGTCTCTAAATTTTTGGGGTAACTTTGGTTTATTAAATAATAATAATTACTGAACTAATTTGTTATATTAACAACAAATTGTAAAATCATGAAATATAAACAGTTATTAATTTTCTAAGCCTGCAGTGTAATTAATGTAAAATATGTAAAATTATTTATATTACTTTATATTACTATTTAATAATGATATTTACTTTTACTGGCATTTACTTAAAAAATAAATGAAATATTTCTTCGCAAAAAACTACATGTAAGAGAATTAGCATAAACAAAATACAAACATCGTTAACTTTTTTTTAAATTGGCATGTGTAAAACTTTCAATTTAATTTTCTCACCCCAAAATTTGAGTTCGATAACCATTTACTTAACCACATTACTTAAATATGATTATTAAGTTCAACTAATTCATATTATTAAAACATCTAAAATACAAATATGTTTTTTGAAAATCAATTGTAAGTTTATCTCATCTCTCTTAAAAATTGCTACTTCTCAAAATTTCCCATTAAAAAAATAGACCATATAACATATAAAATTAAATAATTGAAAGATCGGGCCACAGAAAATCACACAAATTTTCTGAAAAATTTTGACCATCTCGCATACAATTGTCAATATATGTATAACCATTTAGTCGCACGGCGAGGTTGTCACATATATGCTTTAGTATACAAATGAATGAATGATTTTATTCGAATAAAACCATTCGATAGTTGAAATCATTCATTCAGTAACCATTCGATAGTCTAATTCATTCGATAGTTCCCATCGCTAGTTTAAAGTCCAATTTTCAGCAGTAAACTCGAAAGGTAACTTAACTAAGAATGTAATTCAACTAAGTTAAGAGTACTTACGCTTGTGACGTAGGTGGTTCGCTTGAAGCAGATGATACACTATTAACATCATTCCTAAAAAAATAAGTTTTGAATAACAAAGTAAACAGAAAGAAAGTACTGTTACTTACGATGAAGAGTTCTCCGCTACAATATTGGAAGAAACTGTTGTAGTAGTTGATCGTCGTATAAATTTATATTTCGATTCGGTTCTGCCTGCTTCAGTTACACTGGGGGCATCAGTAGTTGATTTTTGCCTAACAAAATAGTATAAAAAATTAGATTTTTCTATGGGAGATCTATTTTAAGATATCTGATAATTTTAATTTTGTTTAAACCTTACCTTAAAACCTCTTCGTTGTTATCATCTTCTTGATTAGAAGTGGCAACAGTGGTGGTGGTAGATCGTCGAATAAACTTATATTTCGATTCAGTACTGGACTCAGCTCCAGGTGAGGTTGTAGTTGATCGTTTCCTAAAATCAAATTTGTATTAGTAATGATATACCCAGATATACAGGGTAGTCCGAACTGTATTCCGGAAACTTCGGCAGCATAATCTACACAAAAATAAGTAAAAAAGTTCGTATAAATGTATGTCCTAAAATGCTTTGTTTCGGAGATACAGGGTGTAGAAGTTTCATTTTTATTTCGAATTTTGCCAAATAATTTCTGGACTAATATCGATATTTGAATGAAAAATGGTATTTGGGAGTTTTTTGACATAAAAAATTTGACTATGATTTCAATATGACTCCTACCTCTAGAGGGCGCCACCTACATAATTTTTAACTGGTTTGAAGAGGAATAACTTTTTGTCCGCACCTGTATAAAACTACTGAGTAAAAAAATATACATTTACGACATTTTCTACGCAAAAAAGGTCTCTTGGTAAAAGTCGCTACGAGTCATAGTTCTCGAGAAATTTGGAATCGAAATTATCAATACTTGTCATCATTGACATAAATTAAAAATGTGTCAACTAAATCGTTATTAGTTTGAAATAATTAGTATAGTTCATAAATTTGAAATGTTTTTGTACCAAAAGTTCAACAGAAACTGTTTTATCATCATTTTTTCGAAGAAAAATTTATGATCAATTTAAAAAAATACAAAGTTCCCAAATTTATCATTTCAGTCAAATAAGTATCTACTCGACATGTTTATTTTTTGTCAATAATGATATGTAAGATTGAGAACTGTTGCTCGTAGAGATTTTTACCAAGATATATTTTTTACGTAAAAAATCACAGAAATGTATATTTTTTCACTCAGTAGTTTAATACAGGTGCGGACTTAAATTTATTTTACTCTTCAAAACAGTGTAAAACACATGTAGGTGGCGCCCCCTACAAATAGGAGTCATATTGATATCAAAATCAAATTTCTCAGATCAAAAAACTCCCAGACACCAATTTTCATCCAAATATTGACGTTACTTCAGAAATTATTTGGAAAAAATCGAGATAAAAATGAAACTTCTACACCCTGTATCTCCGAAACTAAGTTTTTTAGGACATACATTTTTATAGGAACTTTTTTACTTATTTTTATGCGCAAAAATATGCTGCCGAAGTTTCCGGAATACAGTTCGGACCACCCTGTATATAGGCTTCAATTTGCAATAACAATAATTTGAACGATTTTATCGAGGGGTAAACCGCAGAGGGAAAAGTGTACACCGTAATTCCTTTTACTCAAATAATTCCTCAGAATTCCTCGTAATTCCTTCGGAATTCTTTGGAATTTTTTGGTCTTCAAGGTCAAGGTCAATCATTCAAGGTCTTCCTTGGAATTCTTTGGTACGAACTCGGTAACTCTTTCAGTTTCAACCAGCTTTGCCACCTCCGTTTCGCAGTTCCGCAATGAATTTTCTCGTGATTTTTATATGTCCAATATCTCTATAAGTACTAGATCTAACAATAAAAAGTACTATTACAAGATTTACGTTTTTTTAGTTAAATTTTAGGACTAATAGGGGATCATGAGGTGAAAATACTGGAAATATGTCGGCACTTACTTATTAAAATTATTTTTTCTCGGGATTTTTTTGAAAATTATAGGTCCTAGTTATATCTATAGGAAAGGGAATTAATAAAACTTCAGTTGAACGTCATAATACGATCACCAGTAAATTCCACAAGATTACGCATGGTGTCATTGATGAAGTGCACCTAAAGTTGTATTAATTTTCCTATTGTATATACCTCGGTATTATTCCGAGGAAATGAAAAAACAACTTTACACTTTCTGAGTATTGAATAAAAAATCTTATGAGCGTTTCTTTAAAATGGCGAAATCAAGGAACGTTATAAGTAGATCTCTCGGGGGTGGTTCGGCCGTACTATTGGAATATATTTTAGATATATAATCGAGGGTACAATATTAAATTAAAAGAATATCTAACCTGTAGATATTTGATGTTGGGAAATTTTGGAAGCGATTCGAAAACGAAAAACGGATAGTAAAAAAATCGCCTGCAAAACGTTTTTCGTTAAATTTGGTCCTACCTATTATAGTATTCATGGTCTACTTATGTTCGTTAATTTTGTATAAAGTTGCTTGTAATTCCTGTTAGTTCCTGTGGAATTCCTCTAAATTCCTAAGGAATTCCTTGGTATTCATCGGAATTCTTCCGGAAATCATTGGAATTCCTAGTAATTCCTTGGAATTCCTCGTAATTCCTTGGAATTCCTGTAGAATTCCTTCATAGTGTACACCATAATTCCTCTGCGGTTTACCCCTCGGATTTTATATATGTAAAAATTATTTTTTTATCTCTGTTTGATATTCGATCGGTTGATTTAGACATATCGAATATATGTCAACTTTCTTACATTGCATTGTCAACCCCATTTAAAGTAAAATAAATATACCTTCAACAACCATAATTTCTTTAATTTTATCATCTTTTTGTAGATATTTCTTTAATAAATATTGTTATTACCTAGCAACTTGATCATCTTCAGTGGTTACCGGTAGTGGAGTTGTAGTACTACGCCTCAGTATAGTTTGGTACCTAAAAAAATCAAAATTAAAATAAAATCTATCAAATGAAACATTAAAAAACATACTTTGGAGATTCTCTGCTTGATTCCGTTGTTGATCTACGCCAACTGTTTGTACCACCCTCTTCATCGTCATCATCCTCATCTATTTCTTCTTCTTTTTCATCTTCTTGTACTGGGGCTACAGTGGATCTTCGAATTGAAGTGTACTTCGAAGATGAAACGCTGGGTTCAGTGGTTGAAGGTCTCTGTCTTCTGATACTGACGTATTGAGGAACATTGTTTTTTTTCTTTACTTCTTCTTCGTTTTCTTCGTCGTCTAGTTCTCCTAGAATTCGGTTTCTGTCGGAACCACTGTAATCAAAAATAGTTTTATTTAGTAATTATTTTGCCATTTTCTAAGTTCTCTAGTTTGTTTGTTGTTGTTTTGTCACGATATTTATCTATTAAAGACTCTTTTTATTTTGTTTATACATTAGTGCGAGGTCCAATTTCCTCGTTGTAGACAAGGATATAAAAAAAAATATACTGGGTGTTCCGTTTAAAATAAAACCATAACTTGCTTTTAAAGGTGACCAGACCAATGTTCAATATTAATTTTCTCTTACCCTGTATAACTTTTTGGGTCAAGTTTTAATTTGATTTAAAGTACAATAGTTATTTTAACAACTATACCGGGTAAATTCCAATTTAGGTAGCTTTTATTGTAATTTAAAAAATGTTTTGAAATAAAATCTTTATTTTTAGACCATGTTAAATATATCAAAAACCTTACATTTTAGTCATATACTTCTCTAATAAAATTCACATTTATGTTTCTCCTAGAATCCGAAAATCAATTAATATATAGGGTGTCCCATAACAAAAAAAATATCTGTGATATGTAACTTTGTTTGGGAACACCCTGTAGAACTTTTTATATTTTTAAAAAATGTTCTTAATTGCTGCATAATGCACCACGTGGTATGAAAAGCGCCACCCTGTACTTAAGTAATAATATACTCACTCATCTTCATTGGATTCGGTGGTAGTACTGCTTTTTGGTCTACGAATATTAACATACTCCAAAGCTGATTTCGATCTACTTGACTGTTTACTTTTACCAGCTTTGTTTTCTTCTTCCGCCACACTTTTTACTTCTTCTTCGTCAACAGCTTTCTCTGTAGAAGCCCTACAAAAACATTCATCAAAAAAAAAAAATCTTCCCCAAATTATATAAAAATATAGTAATCGCAAAAAAAAATTCCGATGCACGTAATGACAATTAGGAGTGACAAGCGATAGCGACAGCGCTGCCAGATTGTGATGGATTTATGAGATGAATCTTAATTTAAAAGCGACAAACAATATACTTATTATATCATTTTTAAAGATTTTTACGTTTTATTTTTAATTTAGTACTTTACTTTTACTTTTTCGTATCCGGATTATATTATAGTTTATTAACCCAGTAATGGGCTACGTCCAATGCTTCCCGTTTAACCAGCCATAGGTCTTCGAGGGTACATCTGTGGGGGCACGCAGGACATTGAAGAAGATGTTCCATGTCCTGAAAGGCGCCGCAGTCGCATTTGTCGTCATTTCTGTCCAGCAAACCCCATTTGATCAAATTGGATTTTACTGGGGCCACCCCAGTTCTGATTCGGTTGAGCATTCTCCAGGTTTTCCAGTCGCTAGAAACACCATTTGGTGGGTCCTCTCTAAGGGGGTAGTGGGAGGGAGGTTCATCCAGGGGGTGGCTTAGGAAACGGCGTCTGGATTTAAGTCTACCTGTGCCGCACTCTTGGCCAAAAATTCAGTGACGAGCATCAAAGGTTTGTTTTAACTTCTCAGTATGTTCATGAGCTTTTCTGCGTAAATCGGGGCTTGTAAATTAATTTAGTAACTAGTATTTTAGTAATGAATTGATTTATTTGTTTTATAGTTTATTTTACTTATTACATATTGGCAAAAACTAGTCCATTATGAAGCGTATTCTAAGCGTTATTAAGGGTTATATATTTATTTATTGATCTACATCTTACAACGCCATAAGTGGTAATATAGTCTGTGAAACGAATAACTTTGAATTTGACAGTTCCCGCGGGCTTTTCTAGTGTTAATTTTATTAGGTTAGCAACTTGCTGCCATGCTGACGCAATACCGTCGCTAATAGAACAGCCTCGGAGCGAGATTTATACGGATTAATAAATATGTTGTAGAATACATGGAAAACATAATTATTCCTTGTATTTTTGGTCTGTATTTTACAAATGATATAGTTTACATGAAATATTATACATAATATACAGTTAATAAATACAATATAATATATACCTATTTATTCTAATAAATACTTTGGCAAATAAAACTATGAACCATGCAAATGCAGCAAATGTTTTACAATATACAGATAATGAATAGGTACATAAGATAATGGGTAAAATGTAAAATATATTTTAAATTTTGAGGTTTTAAAATCGATCTAATTTAACAAAAACATTCAATATCTACTAATAGTGATGTATTATTATTTACATTCACAAAATTTAGATTTTCAAACCTCAAAATTTAAAATATATTTTTCATTATTTGTAGATTCGAAAACATTTGCTGCATTTGTATGGTTCATAGTTTATTTGCCAAAGTATTTATTACTATAAATACGTATATATATTGTATTTATTAACTGTATATTATGTATATTTCATGTAAACTATATCATTTTTAAAATACAAACCAAAAATACGAGGAATAATTATGTTTTCCATGTATAGTACAACATATTTATTAATCCGTAGAACCTAACTAGCGTGACGTCATAAATCTCGCTCCGAGGCTGTTCTATTAGAGACGGCATTGGTCTGATATTTAGAAATGTCAAAAGCTGATGACTTTTTACTTTTGACAATTATGACATTTCGTGTTTTTGCAAGACGAGGAAGAACTGTCACTTGTTTTATTATTTTCCTTTTCTATTTCACGAAAGTAAAAAGAGTTACCTATCTGATTCGTTCAGGCACTCAATTTAAAGAATATCAGTAACTTTTTTGATAGGGATTTTATATTTGCCATGTTGGAAAAAAATAACGGTCAAAATTCAAAGTTATTCATTTTATAGACTATAACAAGTAAGAGGGTTAATGCACAAACTAATAATCACAGAATTTAATAAAAACTAAAGTAGAAATAACTTTGAAAGTAGTGTAATGTGCTTATCAGTCAAATTTATTTTTCTGACTGCAATCAAGGGTAATTTTTTTTTCATAACAAGGGGCCGTCCTCTGCCGGAAACACTGCGACCTGTAAGGCCTATTGTGTTTGTCCCCCTTGTATATCTGCACCCATTCTCCTATCCCTGTGCCCTGCACTAGCTTATGCAGGTCCTTGATAGGATGGGAGCATAGTTCCTCCGGTTCTAGCCTAGCTTTCCCAAATAAAATGTGTCGCTTGCGATCCAGAGCCTCGCAATGACATATTATGTGCTCCGTTGTTTCAGGATCTTTATCGCAGAGTCTGCAGCAAAGACTTCCTTGATATAGGTTGAGCTTGTTCAGGTAACACTTGACAGCCATGTGTCCTGTCAAGAGGCTTGTGTAATTCGCACTTTATTCCTGCTAAGCATTAGCAGTTCTTTTGCGGTTTTAGAGCTAGGTCCTTGGATAAAAGCCTTGCTGTGCCTGTGCCCCTGTCTGTTTCTCCAGTGGACATTGTGTTTTTCCCTGATCCAGAGTTTTAGTGCACTACGGGCTAAATATTTGGGTATTCCCAGTACTCGCTCTGGACCAAGATAGGATGCCGATGATCCCTGCCTAGCTAGCTCATCGGCTTTTTCGTTGCCTTGGATGCCGCTGTGGCCAGGCACCCAGAATAATTTAATTCTGTTCCTTCGTGCCAGAGCTCCCAGTTCATCCAGGCATTCCCAGACGAGTCTCGACGATACCTTTGGGTTCATAAGCGCCCCAAGTGCCGCCTCACTGTCTGAGCATATATTGATGAGCTTACCTAAATAAGCTCTTCTAATTCTAAGATTTCTGTCTGGAATACGGTTGAGTGTTTACCCAAGGAAAAGGATAAGCTTGCCCTTGGTCTTTCCCCATATACTCCAGCTCCTGTTCCTTCAGCGGTCTTCGACCCGTCTGTATACCAGATTAGTCCATCCTGAAGGAATGTTATATCTGTCCACATTCCTCGATCCATTTTGTTCACCTCGAATGGTTTGTGGTAGTGATAAAGAGGGGTCATTTGGTCCGATCTCATTTGGAGTAGAAATCCTCCAATAGAATCTCCCATCTTTAAGTGTCCTGTTTCTGTCCTATTTCCCAGAGACAAGACACTTTGCTGTCGATAGAGTCCCATTCTTGTCTCCGCCTGGATCACTATGTGCAGAGGCGGAAGGTCCAGAATCGCCTCCATTGATGCAGTGGGCGTTGATTAAAAGGACCTTTATTGTCACATTCTCGCTCAAAATAGTTTATCAGGGAAGCTACAAGCTCTTTGCTTTGACTGTTTAAATGCTTCGACATATTTTCAACACACAAGTTCAAGAAATGCAATACAGAAACTCGAAAATTTTTATTCTTAAAAGAACTGTTTGTGCTTAAAAGTACAATTTTTTAAAAAGGCTTATAAAAATAGGCAAAAAAAAAACGAGAATTACTCACAAAGATTTAACAACAACACGATATTATACAAAATAATAACTGACATTAGGATAATTGTCAAATAATAAACGACAACCTTGCTGAAAACGGCGCAATGTGACCAACACAGCGATAATAAAATTCGGTTTAAACTAATTTTTGCAGCTTTAATCTAAATAAAATATCTGTTACAATCGTTTGTTCTATAAGGTAAAATGAAGAGCTGCTCGGTATCTTAAATTATTCAACAAATTTAAACATTTTTGCCAAAATTTCATTTAATCATGTTTATAGACTTTAGTGTCGATGTCGATATGATTGATGACGTGGATCGGAAAATGTTTTGCGATTACTATACACCTAAATTACCTTTGTCTAGCTATTGAACTGTATTGTGGCCTGCCTCTATCAACTTTCTTCGCTCCATCACTACTTTTAACTGCCTGACCCTGAGGACCACCGCTATTTCTAGTACGAGAAGTCGATTTCAAAGCGTTCAAAGCATTTTTCGACGTCTTGCTCAGTACTCTCTCGTACAGCGTCTTGCTGAGAGCTGACTGAGTCGTTGTGTCAGTTCCGGAAGAGGTAGAGGAATCTTTGCCGCCTGTTAACTGTTTTTCCAATTCTTCCAGACCTCCGGCTTTTTTGATCAGGGCTATCAGTTCTTTGATGACCTGAGGATCTTCTTCTTTGCCTGGTACGGATTCCTCTTCCTCATCTTCGTATTCTTCCTCATCCTGTAAAAATAAAATCGAGTACGGCCATTTAGTTGTTTGGAAACTTTGATGTTGGCGCCTCTAAGTAATTAATTTGGGTCGCCGCGGAGGCTCCAAGCAGAACGACAGTTTGTATTGAAATTAAATTTTGTGAGCATATGTAGGTTAATTCAGAGCACTTTTTAAAAATATAGAGACTTCTACAGGGTGTCCCCAAAAAAAGTTACATATCAAAGTTGTGTTTTTTGTAATGGAACCCTCTATATATTAATTGATTTTCGGATTCTGGGAGAAAAATAAAGGTGAGTTTTATAAGAGAAGTATATGACTAAAATGTAAGGTTTTTGACATTATTTAACATTTTCTAGAAATAAAGAACAAAATTTACAATAAAAGCTACCTAAATTGGAAATTACCCTATTAATAAGTTAAGTATTTTAAATCAAATTAAAACTTGATCTAAAAAGTTATACAGGGTGAGACAAGATTAATATTGAACATTGGTCACCTTTAAAAGCATGTTACTCTTTTATTTTAAACGGAACACCCAGTATATTATTCCGATATTCAATGGAGAATTCATGTCTCTTCAGAATACTCTTAAGGTTGCCACCCCTCAATCAAAAATTTTCCTAGATACCTATTCTCATTTACATGATTTGATCTGAGTAGATGTTTATTGTTTGATAAAATCTAGGTAGCTGTGATATATGTCAGACGTTACTTCAACATAGCTGTCTAATTAATCCAACTTTATCAACTGGTTATCATTTTGTGTCAGTTAAAACAAAAAAAAATTCTCAGAAATTTGCCGAAAATGCAAACATATCCTACATCATAGAGAATTGATATGATTCTATTAGTTGGTGAATGCAGTGTCCTAATTGAAAACCGGAAAAATATACTGGGTGTTCCATTTAAAATAAATGAGTAACTTGCTTTTAAATGTGACTAATGTTCCATATTAATTTTGTCACACCCTGTATAATTTTTCGGCTCAAATTTCAATTTGGTTTAACCAAAGTTTAACATACAATGGTTACTGTAATTAAATATCAGGCTATACAAGGTCAACTAAAATTTGGGTAGCTGTTAAGGATATTTAAAATTTACCCTTCATTTTCACAAAATGTGAAATATGTCAAAATCATTAGATTTTAGGTATATGCTTCTTTAATAAAACTCATCATTATTTTTTTCCTAGAATCCGAAAATCAATTAATATATAGGGTGTTCCATTAGGAAATACACAACTTTGATGTGTAACTTTTTTTGGGGACACCCTGTATAATTCTATATTTTTTTATAAAATGCTTTCAGTTAACCTACATATGGTGCCAAAATGTAATTTCGATATAAACTACCGTTCTCCTCGGAGCTTCCGCGGCGTATGAGAGGCGCTACCCTGTACAGGGTGGGCCAAATTCGACGCTTTTAAATGGAAACACCCTTTTTATAGGAGATAGACAAAAACTAATATCGGTGTCTGGAGCTCAATTTTTGTCAAAAACATAATGGTGAAAACCGCATATCGATATCTGTTACCGTTTCGGAGTTACGGGGTGTTTTTCAAAAATATGCATTTCTAACAAATCGGTGTAACTTTTTTGCTATGGAAAATTTTGTATGAAAACATTTCCAAAGCACCTTTTTACGTAGAATTTAATGGTTTAAGTATAATTTTTTTAAAATTAATAATTTAAGAATTATCAACAGAACATTTGATTTTTTATATGGGACACCCTGTATATTTTTAATTTATTGTAAAGAATTTAAAATTACCTTTCCAAAAATATAACACACTTGATATTTTGCTCGATTCCTCTTCGAGATATAGAGTATATAAAAATTCGCCCGCTTTGAATAAGTAAACGGCACCGGCTGTAATGCAAAAAAATTCTAGCTGTGAGCATCAATTAAAACGAAAATAATATTTGCTATGAGAGATGCAGAATTTTATAACAATTTAAACTATATTTAACCAACATCAACACATTTAAACTATATCTAATAACAATAAAAATAAATAGCAAACCAAGACATGAGATTTTGCTACAGGTGTCCGACTTATCGACAGTCTTCTGTTATGGACAGACGGGGCAGTTTTTGAACATTTCTCGTGGAATTCATTAACTCAGTGGGGGTGAAAGATACCCTCTCATAACTGCTAAGTATTTATAATTCTTGTCTAAATTATACGGAAGAATAAGGAACCTTTATTCTCCCGCAAATATATCCATAGGATTAAATCCATGGGCACTAAGTCAGGCGGCCTCGACGGCCAACGGCTGGGATCATGGTTAGCTCGTCAATTATTCTTGAAATTGGCTGCGAAAATTTGCTGATAACTTCAGCGTTCAGAGGCGGAGCGTCGTCTTGCTGGAAAAATATGTTTTCGAGTTCCATTAAGGGCATATCATCAATAATGGGTCCAAAGCCTACTAGTTAAAAGTGGCGAACTTTTAAAAATTCTGTATTTCGAAGGGGATTGTAACAAAATATCAAGTGTGCTATATTTTTGGAAAGGTAATTTTAAATTCTTTTCAGTTAATTAAAAATATAGAGGGTGTCCCAAATAAAAAATCAATTTTTCTGTTGATAACTCTTAAATTATTAATTTAAAAAAAAATATACCTAAACCATTAAATTCTACGTAAAAGGGTGCTTTGGAAATGTTTTCATAGAAATACAAAATTTTCCATATCAAAAAAGTTACAGCGATTTGTTAAAAATGCACATCTTTGAAAAACACCCCGTAACTCCGAAACGGTAACAGATATTGATGTACGGTTTTCACCATCATGTTTTTGATGAAAATTGAGCTTCAGACACCGATATTAGTTTTCGCCTATCTCCTATAGAAAAGGGTGTTTCCTTTTAAAAGCGTCGAATTTGATTCACCCTGTACAACAAAATGTAACTGAGGTTTTATAAAGTGTTTTGGGGTAGTGTGATAAGCAAATTAAGTATTAGTAAAATAAAAATAATTACTTCATATGCTTCTGTTGTGGTTGTAGTAGACGCTTTAAAGGTAGTTTTACTTGTAGCAGCTGTAATTTTAGGAGGTGCCCTGGTTGTAGAAAATATACTACTCAAAGTCGGTCTTGGAGATGTCGTAGCGCTCGTACTAGACTCGGACAGTTTTTCGGTAGTACTAGTAGTGGTGGACGGTGCTTTTTGCAGTTTTTTCTTGCACAGTACGTTCTGGCTGTAATCGCAAGAATCGGCAGCTTTGTTAAAATATAATCCTGAAAGAAATACGTTAATTTTAGTTTGAAATTTTATTTGGTTTAGCGAAAACGGTACCTGCGGGACATGTAAACTGATGTGCGACGATTCCTGAGTCTCCCGCTCCACTGAGACACCAATAGTATTTTTTGCAGTCTTTCGGGTGAGGGAAGAAACCTTCATCTTCACATTTGAAGTCTGAAAATAAGTCAATATTATTACTAGAGAGTAATAATTACTATAATCGTCATTGATGGATCAAGAGCATTATAATAAGGCTATATACCCGGGGGGCATTAAGGAATGTGCTTCAGGATGGGCATTATTGTATACTAACGCCATTTTTGCAGTTTTTGGATGAGGAAAGAAACCTTCAACTGAATGTGAAAAAGGAGCATTTAACTAAGTATATTAATATTAAATATTGTTATAAAGAAGTAACAATTACTTTAATAAACACAATTTATGGACCAAGGGCATTATAATGCTTTTGGGTATTATAATAAGACAAAATGCCATAAAGGCATTAAGGAATATACTTCAGGATGGTCATATAAGCCTTTAAATAAATAATTATAGTTATAAAAAATGGCAGATACTATAATACTTGAAAATATAGGAAATAATGCCCTGGGGGCATTAAGAAGCATATTTCAGAATAAACGATATTGTCTATTAATACCCGGCGTTCATATAAGATTTTTATGTCTTACTTCATAGTTACTTTACAGATTTTAGATGATTTTTAATAGCAAATTATGTATAGGGTGTGATAAGAAGTTCACAACAAATAAGGATTTTTTTATTATTGAATTTTGAAAAAAAATGAATTAAAAACAATAATTTTGACATATCATACCACAAATTACAAAGATATGCAAAATATCAATAATACATTGTGCAAACAGAATGGTTATTGGTTATACAATATGATCGAAAAAAAAACGGCGTCAGCGATGAACTGAAACGAAGATCGCTGTCATTTTATATGTAAAATTATTTGGGGAATGTCATCATTGTTCATTTTCAAGCGAACTGGACGCCGTTTGTTTTTTATCATACGGTATTACACAAAATTACACCATTTTTTACGTCTTTGTACCAAGTTTCATAAATATAAAACAAGATTTTCTAAACAAAGTGAATAACTTTTGGTGAACGCTGTATAACAATTATAACTTTTTATTAATTCTTTAACGTGCACATATAGTATTGTGATTTACATATATAATCTGTGATTTATGTTGTCATTGTGATGACCCTAGGGACTTCTTTACCTGAAAAAATACTGGGAGGGCATTATTGTAAACCATAATGCCCTGAAATGTTTAGATCTTACCAAATAAACTTTTAGTCACATGATTAAGCTTGACCGGCACAGCGTTGCCCACTTTCACATTTTTTCTTTTAATCAAGATATATTAGGAACAGTTATTATTTACATCATTAACAAAACTCGCCTCCTTAACAGCACTTAAGGACATAAATGGCCATTACTACCGCTTTCCCGTTCAAAATATTCTAATAAGCTTGCGATGAGTTTTTTACAACGGCTATTAAGCTGTCTTGAACACTTCGCACTAAAAGGGGTTCTAAAAAGAACAATGATAGACTGCAAGGTCTGCTAGTAAAATTTTTAAGCTTATCACAACATAATTCATTTAAACCAAAAACACGTAGTATAAAATTAAAGTGTCAAAACGAATGACAATGTCAGGAAATAAATAAATAAATGTGGCAACTTGACATTTTTTACAGCAGAGCTGCCACCTGAATCCCCAGCGGGAAATTTAAATTCCAGTTAGTCAGCCCGGCGCCGAATATATCCATGGTTGGTAACGATGAATTTACGTAACTAAAAGTTTAATCGGTATAGCGATACCGATACGCATTAATAGTAAACTAATAGGCATTAATACCAAACACCCATAGGCATTATGATCTCTAAGCGTAGAGATCATAATGCCTATGGGTGTTTGGTATTCTAACAATAATTCTGAAATAAAAATAAAGTAAAAACTGAATATAAATAATTTACCTCCTCCCATATCCGGTGTAGGTGGGGGTGCAGGCGTGGTATACGAGGGTGTAACTATTTTTAAGCTACTGTAACTCGAAGTATCTTCTTGTGCTCTAGATGAGTCCTTTCTTCTTTTGGCACTTGATAATTTCTCCTCGGATCGGTTTTTGTTCTTGATTCTAACAGAGGAAATCAATAAATCAATAAAAATAATCAAATTTAGTTAGTTCGAACCAACTCATAATTTAAAAGATTCATATGTTGGAAGATTAACCAGTTTTGGTTGATCTACAATACAGGGTCCGGCAATAGTGCGTCGGGCATCTGTAGCTCAGAGAATAAAAAACTTGGGAATTTTGTTGAACTGCAAACCTAAAGAATGTTTTGTGATGTATTTCAGGAAAATATTTTAATTTCTATAAGGTGGCTCAAAAAAGTGTGTGTAGATCGGGATGATTTTTTTTAAATAGAACAAACACCCTGTATATTATTGCATTTTTAGTTTCCTTTTCATAATTCTAAGATATGAATAAATATATATTGATAGCTTCAGAGATATTAAAAAAATAAATAAAAAAATACATATTTTTTAGCCTTTTATAAAAAAATATTAAAGATACAAAAACTGTCCAGAAATCAAAGTTACACTAGGTATTTACTTTAGATGGTCTGTACTTACTTTAGTATAAATATGGTAATCGGAAATCACACAGGATGTTCAAAATTCTACGCCAAACTTTCTAAAATATAAAATAATTTTTCTTCGTTTTTTTAAATGGAACATCTTGTATATTCTTTTTTCAATAGATGGAGAACTAAAAAACGAGCATTTTTTGTATTTAGAGTATTTCAAAATTTTTAACGGTTGCGCAAATGTTCGCAGTTTTATACGTCATATGGCATTTTCTACCACAGTAAATTTTTACCAAAGCCACCTAATAATTTTTTTTGTGTGAGTATGCTTTTATTTTAAAGAACACAAGTTTAATTAAATTAAAATAAAAAATAATTCTTCTGCATATATAAATTAAAATAAATATTAAATTTCTAAAAATTAACTAAAGTAAATATTAATTTTCTACAATATATAAATTTGAAATATAAATTAAAATTCAACATATACTAATTAAAATAGATAGATATAATTTTTTGACATTGTAAAAAAAATTTTGACTTTTTAACTTGTGATTGTATTTTATAAATTTGACTTCTGTAATTGTTTTAGCTTTGGACCTGATGATGGGAATAGTTTAAATTACCGAAACATGTCGCCCCCTTGCTTTTTTAAGCATTAAAATTTAAATTAAACAACTTAAAGATTGTGAGTTATTGTCCTTTTACCCGCCTTCAAAGGTTTTGCTTTGATAATCATTTTTCTTTGGAATTTTACGAAGGTTTCGCATGGTTTCGCAGATGTACGCAGTATTATTTCATATGGCTCTTTCAACGCCATATGAAATAATACTGCGTATATCTGCGAAACTAGTAGTGGGAACTATCGAATGAATACTATCGAAACATTCGATAGTTGCAATTCATTCGAATAATTCGATAGTTAGTAAGAAAACATTCGTTGAAAACTATTCGAATAAAAATTATCGAATAGATCCGTCATCTGCCTTTAAACATTGTATTCTAGTAATTCGGCAGCAAAAACCATTCATTTATGAAATTCATTTATTCTTCAGGATCGATTATAATAAAATATTAAGTAACTGAATTTTAGTTGTCGCCCGGCGACGTAGGTTTCTTTCCGAGAAACCCGACAGCGGTCGGTGGCAATGCTATGAAAGAAGCCGGCATCTTTGATTTTTTGCGGAGTCAGATAAAAATAAGGGCACATTATTTTTTTTATTGAGGTGCTAGTATTTACACAGAAAATACATAATGAAGGGAGCTGTTGCCATATTTTGGTATTAGTTGATATTAGCAAAGAATATTATTGTTTGGCTTTAGTTAGTTAGGGATAGTATGTCTATATATTCTGCATTTTTTTATTAATATTCTGTTGTTACACTGCAATAATACTTGTTATTTTGGATGTAGGAAAATGATTTTTAATGTTTTTAAGCAAAGACTGGTTTAATAAATAATAATAACAGTTATATATAATAATTTGTTATACCTATTAACAACAAAATCTAAAATCATTTAATATAAACATTATTTTAAGTAGTAGCAAAATATAAACAACAAATTAGATGTCAAAATTATTTATATTAGATCCTATTTAAATATTTAAAAATAATATAGTCTCTAAATTTTTTGGCAACGTTGGTTTATTAAAGAATCATAATTACAGAACTAATTTGTTATATTAACAACAAATGTTAAAATCATGAAATATAAACATTTATTAATTTTCTAAGCATGCAATGTAATGGAAGGAAAATATAAATAAAAAATTAGAAATCAAAATTATTTATATTAGGTGCTTTATATTAATATTTAAAAATTATATTTACTTTTACTGGCATTTACTTTAAAAAATAAATGAAATATTTCTTCGCAAAAAACTACATGTAAGAGAATTAGCACAAACAAAATACAAACATTGTTAACCTTTTTTTTAAATTGACACGCGTAAAACTTTCATTTTAATTTTCTCACCCCAAGTTTCAGTTCGATAACCATTACCACATTACTTAAATATGATTATTAAGTTCAACAAATTCATAATATTAAAACATCTAAAATACAAATATGTATTTAAAATTAATTGTAAGTTCATCTCATCTCTCTTAAAAATTGCTACTTCTCAAAATTTTCCATTAAAAAATAGACCATATACTATATAAAATTAAATAATTGAAAGATCGGACTACGAAAAACCACACAAATTTTCGGAAAAATTTTGACCACCCGCACATGCACACAATCTTCAATAAATAAAATTAAAAAAAACTACTATTTTAGTATTTTAAATATTTTAATAAACCCAAGAATAGCACAGTATTTATACGGCGAAGTTATAAAAATTTGGAAGAACTAATAATGCACTGACGCACACAAAAATCAAACGAATACTAAATTTCATTTACCAAAAGCATTCGATAGTCGTGGCTCAACGATAACCATTTAGTCGCACGGCGAGGTTGTCACATATGCTTTAGTATACAAATGAATGAATATTCGAATAAAACCATTCGATAGTTGAAATCATTCATTCAGAAACCATTCGATAGTCTAATTCATTCGATAGTTCCCATCGCTATGCGAAACCATTAAATATTTTGAAATACTTTAAATATAAAAAAGATTCAATTTTTAACACTCCATCTAATAGAAGAAATAACATACAGGGTTAAAAAAATACCATTACATACCATTTAAAAAAAAACGAAGAAAAATTATTTTATATTTTAGAAAGTTTGGCGTAGAATTTTGAACACCCTGTATGATTCACGATTACGATATTTATAGCAAAATAAGTATAGCTCCTCTAAATCAAATACCTAATATAGTTTTGATTTCAGGATAGTTCTTGTATTTTAAATAATTTTTATTTTTATTTTTTAATTTTTAAGGCTGAAAAAATATATTTTTTATTTATTTATTAATATCTCTGAAATTATTGAAATATATTTACATCATATCTGAGGATTATGTAAAGTGAACTGAAAGAAAACCACGATTGCAATAATATACAGAGTGTTCCATTAAAAGAATCATTCCGATCCACTCACACTTTTTTGATCCACCCTGTAGAAGTTAAATTATTTTCCTGAAATACATCCTCGTACATAGTTTATGTTTGCACTTTTATTCTAGGAGTTACAGAATTTTATTATACAAAAAACAAACCTTCGTTTTCTGGGTGCAGAAGTTGTAGAACTACTGATTTCCTCTGACTTCTCCGTAGTACTACTCTTAGTCGGTCTACTTCTAGGCTTGTTCTTCGATGACTTCGTTGGTTTTGACGGAGGAGATATCAGATTCTCCTCAGTCAATCCATAGGCGTCCAACAAGGCTTCTTTACCAGCTTCAATCAAAGGATAAGGTTTTCCATGACAGTTACCTCGAAAATCATCATTGTCAATCGCCCAAAACATAATACCGCCCAAATTATTCTCGGCAACGTATTTTGCTTTTCTTTTAACTATGTTTTCATCGTCGTATCCCACCCATTGGTTGTCTTTGAAAGCTATGGGACCCATAGCTTCGGGATTGGGTTCATCGACCTCCCAGTCTTGGTCTTTGATGTTTTCGCAAATCTATATCAATAAAATATAGTTATTTATGTATCTAGGGTGTTAATTACCTAGGGCAAAGTTTGCCGAACCAAGGCAAAATATAGATACTAGTTCAGTAAGAATTAAAGAAATTTATTGAGGATTTTGACGCTGTTTATGTAAATAATACCTCGTAATATGCTAGATATCCGTTTTCTCTGGTTGCTGAACCCATATCTCCTGGTCCATCGGCTGGAGATCCGATTTCGTAGGCTTCTGGGTTGAAAAGGGTATAAGAACGACCATAGGTTGGTATACCGAGGACAAGCTTGGTTGGATCGGCGCCCATTTTTAGGTAGTGTTTGATCGTATGGTCCTATAACAAAAATAAATTGAATATGCAGGGTGATAGGGTGATCCTTTAGGAAGGTTGGTAAGATGTTATATAATCGAGGTGCAAAAAACTTTGAAGATCTTTGTCCAACAGTTTTAGAGCATAAGCTCTACAATCTAATTACAATCTACAAATCTGAAATACTACAATCTATAACCTAATTGTCTTATTTCGGAGTTATGGTATGGCTTTTTGGCGTGACTTTTGTTTTTTTGGGCCTAATGATGGAAAGTAACTGCAACCTAACCTAACCATTTTGAAACAAAATTATTTTTTGAAATAAAAATTTGAAAAGATTGTGAGGTTTCGAGTCGCCTACCCCTCGTTAGGGGTTTTGCAATTGAGATGTACTCACACTGGATTCGAGAACGTTTAGACATTTTAATTATTTCTAATTGCTTATTTTTATTTTTAAACGGTTAAACTTCAAAGTAACAAATAGCATAACATAAGTACGTGAGATCTCATTATTTTTTTTTCAAGTTTTATTGAGATTTCTGCTAAATACTTTAAAAGACTTCTTTTTTCTGCGATTTTAATGATCAGTTCAGACCACCTATAGAACTGAATACCAAGGCGAAATATTTAAGATTGCTTGCAGAAATTAAAAAAAACAGGTTTTTCCCAAAACGGGATGATTTAACTGTTGGTTTGACATTTTCGATAGTTAACAAAATATGTTTGCGGTTACCCTTTGACTGGTCTCGTTTCGTCGTGAGAATTATATACAGAATTTTTCACACTTTAACCTATTATAGTATTTGATTAAATATTATACAAAGTGGACATAAAAGTATAATAAAAATTACAATTTGCCGGAAACACTGCGACCTGTGAGGCCTATTGTGTTTGTCCCCTTTCTATATCTGCACCCATTCTCGTATCCCTGGGCCCTGCACTAGCTTATGCAGGTCATTGATAGGATGGAAGCACATAGTTCCTCCAGTTCTACCCTTGTTCTTCCCTAGCTTTCCCAAACAAAAAGTGTCGTTTGCGATCCAGAGTCTCCATCTTTATCGCAGAGTCTGCAGCAAAGACTTCCTTGATACAGGTGGAGCTTGTTCGGGTAACAGTTGACAGCCATGTGTCCTGTCAAGCAGCCTGTTGTAATCCGCACTTTATTTCTGCTAAGCCTTAGCAGTCCTTTTCCCGTTTTAGAGCTAGGTCCTTGGATAAAAGCCTTGCTGTGCCTGTGCCCCTGTCTGTTTCTCCAATGGGCCATACATTTGGGTATTCCCAGTACTGACTCTGGACCAAGATAAGATGCCGATGATCCCTGCCTAGCTAGCTCATCGGCTTTTTCGCTGCCTTGAATGCCGCTGTGGCCCGGTTTACACACATGTTTACTAAATACTGCTGCGTTAATTCAACGGAGACCAACTTGTCAGCAATGATTTACCAATAAACTAATCTGCTTCCCGTCGTCGAAGGCAAATATACACAACGAACAAAGAAAAAAACTGTAAAACTTGGAAAATAAGTTGGTTATAATAATGGTTTTATAATTCGGAAACTCTCTATTTATTTATCTAGTAATGCTAAAACACTCTATTTTAAAGTCGATTAGAGAAAATAGTATGATTCATTGGCAAGTAATGTAAATATTTACGATCCGGTAAAATTGTGATGTAAGAGGAGGCTTAGCTTGCCTGAGGCGAATCAGTTGTTGATAGGCCGGCAGGCTGTTGTGTTTTGTCATAGAGCTGATATTTGGGGGTTGAGAGTCTTTTGACTATAAACGTTGCAAGTACTGTAAGGCAACGGGTCGTTTGACCGGAAGAAAACCTCTTGTGACGTCTTGCCTTCGAGGTTGGTCTTGAGAGTTTGAGGTCTCCCTTGTCTTCTCGATTGACACGATGCGGCGTTGGGGTAGTGAGCTACCCCAATTAGCCTATTCGATTGGGATGCGAATCTGTTTAGCGGCAAAATTGCGTCCGGGGGAAGCCCCTATACTATTTCAGGTGACACTAGCTAGTTGTTGAAGATGATTAACCAATATATAACCGAATGATATTTGAATTAGATGGAAAATATGGAATGGGATGTATTGAATAGAATATATCAGTGGCTAGGGGGCGGAGTACCCCCGGGTGAGTCTTACTATTTAACTATCAATTTTATCCAGATCAGTAAATGTTTGTTTTTTATTTTCATGTACAATGAGAGAGTGCTTGCCAATGACCAACTAAATGGAAATTTGAGTTGAATTTGCATTGTGAGACCCGGTTGAGTGAGCCCTAGAAATAAGCGATTTTACAAAACTATTTAAAATATATAAATACAACTATTCAAGAACATTTTAGTTTTTTTTTCAACAGATACGTCTATAAAAACCATTGACGTTCTCTTAAAATGACATTTTACAGAGCATCTATCAGTTTATGAGATTTCTGGTTTATGAGCAGAGATACAATGATGCGATTTTCACATTACTTTGCTAGTTTTTTATGAAACTAAATATGCTACACATAGATTTGTCCTAGCCTCCTTAGTTCCTGAAATACAGGACAAATTTGTGATGTGCAGTAGTGAACAGATGTTGAATACAGATATGATGCGCAGTAGTGAACGCACCCAGTTTAGGAGAGCATAGCAAAAGATATATATTAAAGAACCAGCTTTCTTAACATTCTCTCTCGCAAATGTTACTAGCTCTTAGACTATAAGTAAAACAGCGAAATCATTATGGAAATGAAAATATAAAATGACACCAATCACAAAAAAATCGTATTTCCGATGAACGAATGAAAATGCAATAAATTTAAAAAGTGAATTTTCTAGCCAATGAAAGTCTTTAAATTCAATCAATAAAATTAATATTATATCATCGTATCGTCGGACAACGGACGCATGAAAATCAAGCTTAACGAAATACCCATAGGACTTTTTTGAAGACCAGGTATAATGAAAACCTCTATTTTTGTTTCTTTGATTTATTTAGTGTTAAAAATAAAAGCAAATTTGTATGAAGCTATTAAAATAACTCGATTCTCTCACTTTTCATTTGATATAAAAATATAATTGGCAAAATACCGACGGTTGAGTATTGCATCAACTTGAAAATCCAAAATCGCATTCACTCTTTTATAAATTCACTCTAATTGTGCACAAAACTGCAAATTGGTAATCGCATTCAATGGAATTAAATCGATCTTAATTGTGCACCAACCCAAGCGTAAACCAACCAAATTAAACAAAGATCGCAACACGCAAATCATACCAGTAGAACAGTACAGAAAAAATCTAAATAGTCAGCTTTTTCGTTCTTCCAACCAGCAGACACTTGGGCTTAGATTGACCGATGAAGCATAGAAAAATCTGCAGACTGCTGTTGCACTATCAATTATATCGAAGTTTTTTATAATTAAATCATTTTCGGAGTATTTTATTGGAACAATAAGCTCCAAAAAATGTTTTGGAAGGAACAACATAATTGTATACAAGGTATTTCAAAAAACATGTGCCATCTCTCGTGAGGAGAGAGATTCCTCACGTAAAAATAAGATTTATTTTTCATATCAACATAGGTCCGATTCCATAGCTAAAAGAAAATAATCTACTATTAAGATAGATATGAAACTTAATAGTAAAATTTTGGGTCAAAGCGCCCCTCCGTGTTTTTAGTGGAGACTATACGTTTAACCCAGCGCCTTCGCCTTTTCTGCTGTAAATGTTTTTTATGTTTATATTTGAATTCAAAGGATTTATTTTTAAAGTTACACTGATATATTATTATATCAGAGTAATTTGAATGAAACATAAGAATATATATATTTTACAATTTATTTTTTTATTTATTTTACAGAGTTTCATGTAAATGATCGTAAGTCGATTGGCTGTCTAATGAATAAACCGAGATTTATAGATTTGAAAGCGAACGAAAAAAAATCAAACAACGAATACATACCATATATTTTTCTTTTATCTAAGATACATACCTTATCGTCTTTTGGAAACACGTACATTTTTGCAGTTTTGTTAGTTTTCTTTGCAAGATGCAACACAACAAGAAAACACCATTTTTACAGTTAATAAATAATAAAACTATTTCTGACTATGATATTTAAAATTTAGATAGATAGAAAATTAAAAACAAACAATAAAATCAAAATTTTTTCCTGCGAAAATCAAGCTTTTTCACTGAAAAGGTATTTTTTGATTTATCAGCAGTCATTGTCAAGTTGACAATATACAGGGTGTTTTCGAATTAGTCTCAAAAAATTATGGTGTGATTCCTCATGTGTTCTTAAAACAATTTTTATATAACCATTGCGTCTAAAGTACTTCCTTTCTGATCTACAGGGTGTTAAAAATTAAAAAAAAATCGATTTTTTTGCTTAACATAAATGGTACACTACTGCTTTTTTAAAGAAAACATATTTTTTTCTTGACTGGCCATCCTTTTTCAACAAAATTGATCTTTTGAGTTTTTCTTGTTCATCAAACGGTTGTCGAGAAAAAAAATAAATATACTTATTAAGAGAGCCCGCCTTAATCTGTTTTCTAACGATTTTTTATTTTTTAGATTAATTAGGAAACACGCTGTATATGCATATCACAGGCAACCAAATAAACTAGTAACCTCTAAAAATTATTTTTCCTAGCACTAGCGACAACCGTGTTTTTAGTGTGTACTAAATTATTTTATCAAAATTTCACTATATAAGTTGCCAGGCAATGGTCCGATTCTGCTTTGTTTCGTAGCTAGAGGTTGTTAAAATCTTAATAATTTTTCGATTAATTATAATTTTCTTCCAAGTACTTTTAATGATTACAGTTGAGGGTTGGAACCTTTATGAAACAGTTATAAAAACACTAATCATTGCACCAAAACACTTTTGCATTTTTTGACGTGCGTTTCGCTAATTGATAAAGCAGTATCATCAGCAGATGACTATAAACTATTTTGAGTTTATAATCATCTGCTGATGATGCTAACATAGTTAGCGAAACGCGCGTCCAGTGTAAAAGTAAAAGTGTTT